GAAGAAAGGGGAGTTATTGACTAATTGGAGTTTCAGTTCTTCCAAATGAAGGGTTATGGGAAGTGGGCGTTGCCAATGGCTGCACACTCATGTGAATGTCTTTAAACTACTAAACTGTGCACTTTAAAGATCAGATCAGCAGCTGTCAGGGGCTGGAGGAGCGGGTGAGGAGTGATATCCGTTGAGTAGTCACATCCTGATAAAGAAGAGTTATGACTGTTAATGAGGGTGGGCTCTCCTTCGGGGTGATGGAATGTTCTTGAACTAAATAGAGGTGGTGGCTGCACAGTATCATGAATATATGAAGTGGCTGGTTAGTTAATTTGATGTTATGTGCATTTCAACAAATAATAATTCATTTGTTAGCTCAAATAACCATGACTATGAAGCAATTTAAAGAGAAGTTTATTAAAGGGATTATTCAGAGAACACTTAGGATCTAGACCCAGGGAGGCAGCTTCAGATCTCTGGGTGCTGATACCACTCTCCAGAAGTTTTGGTTCCAGTTACACAGAGTGTGCAGGTGGAATGCGCAGGAAGGACATGCATGATTCTCTTACAACAGAGATAAGAGGCAGCTGGTTGCGGCCTTGGTTAATGACAAAGGAGGAATGTTATATAGAATATCAAAAATGCTCTCTTAACTCTGCAGTCAGTCATTTGTTGGGGGCGGGGGGGGGGGCTAGCAGAAGAACTGCAGCATCCTAGAAAATGCTTCTGCAGGCATGAAGACCAGGCAGGGCAGCTTGACTAGGGCTCCTTCTTCCAGCAACTCATAACATGACCAGGGAATGATCTTGCCCTTGGGGTGCAATTTGGCTGCACAGCTTCTTCACAGTAAACTGTTTTTTTTGTTTGTTTGTTTTATTTTTTTTCCTTTTTGCTGACTCTAGGCCTCTGCAATTGCCAGCTCAGCAGTTTTTCAGAACAGAGACATCTCTGATAGACAGAATTTTTCTTCAGTCCACACATTTGGTAATTTAATTTAAAAAAAGAAAGAAATTGCAGGCACTATGGAAAACTATACAGGATTTATTAAAAAAACTAAACATAGAATCACCCTGTGATACACCAAATGCATTTTGATCTATACACCCAAAATAATGGAGAACAAATATCAGAGAGATAGTTGCACACCCATGTCCATTCAAGCATTATCCAGAGTAGCCAAATGTGGAAGCAGTCCAAGCGCCCACTGACAGATGAGTAGACACAATGTGATGTATGTTATGGTGGAGTATTACTTTACCTTAGAATGGAAAGAGATTCTGACACAAACTTGGATGAACCATGAGGATATTCAATTGAGTGAAATAAGCCAGACACAAAAGGATAAATACTGCTATTCCATTTAAATGAGCTCCCTAGAGTGCAAACTGGTCCAACCACTATGGAGAGCTGTGTGGAGATTTCTGGACCTACTAAACATAGAGCTTCCATATGATCCAGCAATTCCACTCCTAGGTATTTACCCAGAGGACACAGAAACATCAATTCCAAAGAGCACCTGCACTCCTATGTTTATAGCAGCACTGTTTACAATAGCTAAGCTTTGGAAACAACCCAAATGCCCAAAAATAGATGCCTGGATCAAGAAGATGTGGTACATATACACCATGGAATATTACTCAGCATTCAAAAAAGAGAAACACATGCAATTTGTAGCAACATGGATGGCGCTGGAAGGGATCATGCTCAGCGAAATAAGCCAGAAAGAAAAAGAAAAATACCGGATGGTCTCACTCATAGCAGGAATCTAGAAAACTTAACTAAGGGACCAGGAAAATGAATAACTATAAGAAAGCGAAAATCAAAATCAACAAAAAACTATGAACCAGAGACACTCTTTGGGGGTGGGGGGGTGGGAGGGGAGGGATTGGGGTCAGAATGGGGGGGGTTGCAATTGTATGGGGAATATAAAAATAAAACTTATTATTAAAATAAAATATTGTCGGCAAAAAAAAAAATATATATGAGCTCCCTAGAGGAGTCAAATCCTCAGAGACAGCAGCTGAAACCACAGGGATGGTGGCCACAGTTAGAGAGCCTCCAAGAGGGCCCTGTGATATCTGTCGAGTGTTTGTACCCTAATAAAGAAGAGCTATGATTGGTTTATACCAACCAAAGAGACCTGCCTCCCTTGCCAGCGATTAGCTTAGGAGTGGATTGTGACCCATCTCCCACCAATGGTGTATTAGGGGACTTCCAGAAATTTTTAATCCCCTAATTGAAAAAAAAAATGGTAGGTGGGGTGGGGGAGGAGTTAAATGTTTAATGGGGACAGAGTTCCCCTTTTTCTGGGAAGAGAAAGTTCTGGAGATAACTGGCGGTGATGGTGGCATAACAGCGTGAGTCAACTAAATGCCACAGGATGGTACACTTTCCTAGGGCAATTTTGTTATCTGAATCTCACAGCAACAGGAAGATAAACAGGTGACTAGCCATACTTGGCCTGCAAAGTAGTTTGTGAACTTCTTTTTTTTTTTAAGATTTATTTATTTATGCATACAAGAACTGGGGTTCAGGCCAGAGGTGTGGGGCTGAGAGGATTCACCAGAGACAGAGTGGGGAACAGAACAGGCAGATTTACTGAAGTACACTGCTAAGGGGAGCAGCGGGCGAGCCAGGAGAGGTCTGCTGCATCATGTGGGCTGCTCCCTGGCTGGGGATCGAACTTGTGCTGCAGAGGCTGTGGACAGCTTCATAGGTTGCATCTTAACCCCTTGCGCCACCAGAGAGGCCCAGTTTGTGGACTTCTAATCTATTATTTTTCAATTTCCTCTTGCTTCTCCTCACTTCTCCTACATTAAACTCTGGCAGCGTCTTTGTGCTTACCCCCACACCCCATGCTCATCTGGACCCACAGTCCCAGTCTCACCCCATCCTCCTTATCTCAATTCCACTCCCTTTTCTCTACCCTAATTCTACCCCGTTTACCCACATTTCCTCCCACACCATGTGCCAGCATGGAGTACCCTCAGGAACATCAGCAAGATGCTCGCTGGGGTTCCTGGAGGGTGTGACACAATTATGTGATTCATGATCCATGTAAGGTTACATGTCATCACATAATTTATTATATTGCATTATTATTACTCTGCTCCTAATCCTGCAATTACATGCAATGGTCTCCATGATTATGCACCCTACAATTACACAATCTTTCTTACCAGCACCACAACATGGAGCAATGAGGGAGAAGTGAGGGTTGGCATCAGCATCCGCCCCAACCCAGCCCCTTTCCAGGCAGCTGCTTAAAGGCTGCAGTCACACTCACAGACTTCTCTACAGCTGGGCACATGCTGCACTCGGGTCACTGGCCAGCCTGGAGTTCAGAAGGCAGGGGACCTGACCACTGCCCCCCCTTTGTTTGCTTCCCCGTCACTGTGCCCGCAGCCAGGTATAGAAACGCCTGATATTTGTAATCCACAATTCTTATCCAATGACAGGCTTTGTGGACCCTGAAAAGCAGTCCTGATGGAGCAAAGGCTACACCCTATTCCTAGGTCACAGATACAGGGTAAGTACCTGGAGCTGGCGGTTTTAAGGACCTCCTCACTGCCCATCTTTCACAGTTAGGGAAAACCTCAGATTCTCTGGTGAGCCAGTTCTGTATGGTCATTCTTGCTGGATCACCTGGGTTTTGACCTAATCAGGAGTTGAAAACTATGGCCCCGGGGCCAAATCCAACCTGCCTGATTTTGTAAATAAGGTTTTATTGACACACAGCCATGCTCATTCATTCAGCTCTGTCTGTGGTAACTTTCATGCTGTGAAAGCAGAGTTGGTTGTGAATTCCCGGCACGAAATCTTTCTGTTAAAAGACTTATAGTGACTTGATATGTCATGACATATAAATTGATCCCTGATAGATATGTCATGACATATAAATTCTGATACATCCAAAGAGCCTGACACAATGCAGTCATGCTAAAAGGTGAATGTGAGAGGCTGCCTGTTCACTCCAACCCCAAAGATACGCACAATCTGTTGCCCAGAACCTGTGACTGATATTTTAAATAAAAAAGGAACAAAGCACATGGCATTAAGGATTTTGAGATGATGCGGGATTATCCTGGATTATTTGAATGGGTCCCAAGTGTAATCAATCACAAGGGTCCTTACAAGAGCAACCCAAGAAAGGCAGATGAAGCAAGAGATGTGATGAAGGAAGCAAGAAGTCCCTCTTGCAAGAAGTTTGAAGGATACAAGAGGGACTATGAGCCACGGGGTGCCAACAACTTCTCAGAAGCTGAGAAAGGCAATGACACAGATTCTGCCCTAGAGCCTCCAGAAGGACCCATGCCTTTTGACACCTTGCCATAGTCTGATGACAATCACATTTGGGCCTCCAAAACCCCATGAGAATAAATCTGTGTTGTTTTAAGTTGTGTTTGTGGAAATTTGTTACAAAAGTCATAGGAAATAACCAACTGAAGGATCTTCCCCAAGAATATGAACCACTTTTCAATTAAAACTAATGATGAGAAAAATACATATATAGAGGGAACATTCCAAGAAGGAAGGAGGAGGCTCTCCTGGCTGACATCAGCACAGTGAACTCTGGAGTCCACATCATTTTTAGTTGTGGAGCCATCCTGTATATTGTTAGCTATTTAGTTGCAACTTTGGGCTCCACCCACCAGAGACTACCCACATTTACTGACATGCTCCAGACATTGCCAAATGTCTTCTATGGATGAAATCACCTCCTTGGGAGATCTGCTGGGTTAAAATTAGACTTGAAAATACCACATGCAACAGTAACACAAGAGTTGACTCCAATGTTCTATACAGGTTAAAAAACTCACATTATTCAGATTGTCTAACATGATGTAGGAGAAAAGCAAATACAGTAGCCTCTACTGAGCTTGTGGTGCACAGCCCTGCAATCCTACTTGTGCCAATTTACCCAAGTGAAACAAAAACTCCAGGAAGAGATATACTGTGTACTGCTCTTTGATGCCCACTTTGGCATTACCACCAAATGTTACACCTAACAATCCTAAAAGGACTGGTAGACATCTGTGCTGATTAAAACATCCACAATACTTTATTCAATCAAAAAGGAAATTTGCTGAAAAAACAGGTACAATTTCATCCCGTGTTTATGAAATAAATTGTTGTTTGGAGCAGAGAGGGAAGAGGAGTTGCAACACAGCTGATAGAACATGATCCTCTTTTTAAAAACATGCAGCCACTTGCACCAGGCAAGTGGGTAAGGCTAGAAGGTATTCCACCAAAATAGTGGGTGTTGCTGTTGAGGAAGTGTGATTTAATTTTGCCTTTTCCACTTGCTTAGCTGTCTGTCCCCATTTTTCTACAAGGATCATACATCTGTGTTATTTTATAAAAACCTCCAGATGTGCCTAAATGCCCTAAGAGCTCAATGATCTTGACAAACCTTAACTATTTGACACAGAAACCCAGATGCAGTTGGATGTGAATAAATGCCTCACCTTCCTTGGCCCTCGGGTGGGACCTTATGGGGTATACTCTACTCAAGTTGCCTTGAAGTCCTCCATCGCCCACAGAGTCAACTGCTTATTGATGCCCCCTGGAGGGCTCTTTCCTTCCTTGACTGATATCCCCACCACCACCTCCTGGGGTCACTTCCTGAATAATTCTCATTCCCTCAAACCTTCACCTTGAGGATTGTTTTCTGGGGATTTCAAACCTCCCTCCGTATCCTGTTATGAGACAGCAGAGGTGAGGAGTGTAGGTAACATGTTGGCAATGAGTAAAATTGGACCAAGAAGAGAACACTGACTTACATGAAAACCAACCAGAAGCATTTAATTAAAAAAAAAAAAGGCAAGTTATCCAGCACCTGACCTGGAAAGCAATTACTCCTAAGAGTGAAGCACTGCTGGCTGGCTCTGACATTTGCTCCCAGCTGAAGCCAGCCTGCGCTGAGGCAGAGCTGCACAAGGCCCCCAAATACATGATCCCACCAAAGGCTTGGATAGAGGAACCCCATCAAGCAGGCAGAGACCACACCTGAGATGCAGGGCAGGGAGGTCAAGCAAACAGGACCAGGAGTAGGCACAGGAGACCCAGCCCCCAGCTTCATCCCTTGCCCCCTCCAGGGGGGCTGGGTCAAGGGGGACCTGTATGTAGCCAAGTGGTCACTGGGACTCATGGCTGCCCCTGGTAAGGGAAGAGCCACCCTCCCTCCTGGGCAGTGGGGCTGGAGAGGGGGGAGGGCATTGTCTGCACATAGCTTGGGTAATAGGGAGGTGAGAAGAACAAATTCAACCATTCTCTAGCCCTATTAAAAGTCCACGAGGTCTGGTACACAGTAAGTGTTCAATGCCTGCTGCATGATGAAAGGACTCATGTTATTCATCTCTGTATCCCAGCTCACATGTCAGTGATCAAGATTGCTGACTGAATAATTGTCATACTGTTTTGTATCACTATTATCATGCACATAGTAGGTGTTCTTCAGATGTGAGGAAGAAATTGACTTAAAAATGAAAAGCACCTGTTTATCTCTATCCCCAGCATCTAGCTCAACTCCCAGCACACAGTAGGCACTTAATAAATGTGCTAAATGAAGAATTTATCTTTGTGTCACAAGTACCAGGCACATAATAGGTGCACAAAATGTGTTAGAGTAAGTGAAAATGTTTTGTTTATCCTGGATAAATTCCTGGATATTTTGTTTTGTTTATCCTGGATAAATTCCTCCAATACTCCTGGAGCCTAGACTGCTGCCCAACATACAGTAGGTACTCAATAAATACTTGAATGAATTAAAACAATATGTATTAACTAATGACTGATTCTTGGTGGGAGAATCAATAAATGCTTGATGACTGAACCAATCACTAATTGAGAAAATAATTAGGCCTCATTTACATCCATAACACAGGAACGTGGTACAGAGCAAATGCTTAGTGTTGGGCACATGTGAAGATGATAGTTAGGTCCCATGCAATCTCCCAGTGCCAAGCCCTGGCATACAACAGGTACTCCATTAATGCCTGTGTGCATATCACTGCTGAATAAGAGAAGGTTGGACACTGCCCTGTGTGGCAAGCCCCATGCAGCCTCCCAGAGGTATGCAAGGGGGCTCTACTGTCCCTGGCAAGCATGTGGAGACTGGGCTAATGATGGTTGCTTTGGTGTTTTGGCCACTGCCACTCAGAGCTCATCACGGGCAGCACTGTCCAGTGGGGACTGCAGTACATCCGAGTTCTTGGCCTCCCGGCTCAGTGCCTGCTGCTCGCGCATCTTCTGGGATTTGGCACGGTCCCAGTCGGTCTTTACATGTTCATTGTTCCACACAACTGAGGTCTCTGTGTCGCTTACATACCCGTCATCACCTGTGTAGTGTGTAGGGTAAACAAGCAGGGGCTCCACAGAGAAGGCAAGCAGGTTACGGGGAGAGAAGTGGGTCTTGTACTCGGACCTGTGGGGAGAGGGGAGAAGGCAGCAGCTGGTTAAGAGAAGGGACAAATAGAGGGAGATGGGGATTAGGAAAAAAATACCTCCCTGGATTTGCAATTCTCATGTCCCCTGCCACCCCCTACCTTGGGAAGTTACAGAGTGAGACCCCAGCCTGCCTCCCCTCTGCAACCCCCTCTCACACTGGGTGCTTGTCAAACATGACTGGCAGGAACTCGTCCACAGGCAGCATCTTGGAGAGTGGCCGGGCAGACAGCAGCTTGCGGGCACCTTGCAGAGAGATCACGTACGCCAGTGTCCAGTATGAGTAATCAGCCTCCACCAGATTCCTCACGCGGGGTACAGCCTTCTCGGGGTGTTCCACCTGCATCCGCTTCCGGCCTACATAGCTGGGGTACAAGATTGGGTCCCATGAGCCAGAGAACACTAACCCAGCAAGTCAGGGATTCTGTGAGCCTAATCAGGCCCCCAGGATGGGATCGGGCTTGGCATGTTTGGGAAGCAACGAGAAAGCCAAAATGGCTGGACCAGGCAGGGTCTGAGGTTTGTAGGGAGGATAGTGGATTATTGTCCAAGGGCACTAGGGTGTCATGGGGGAAACTGCAACAGGGGAGACTGGGATTTCTTGGACATTCTCTGAAGACAGGAGGAAAGAAAGCAGGGCGGAGAAGGAAACTATTCTGATTCAGAAGGCCATGGGTCTGTTGGGCAAGATATATGGATACGGTGAGCAGCAGGAATGAAGGAGAGCAGGTATTGTTCATATTAATATCCAGAGTATAGGGCCCAAAGGCCAGATCAAGATACTGCATAGGAAGGGGAGAAGGAGAAAGGATGTAAAGATGGAGGGCTGGGGAGAGAGGTGGAGGGAAGAAGAAACAACCAACCTATATGAGATTCCAAAGGGCTATGCCAGAAATATGCTGGCCTCACCTCCACCTAGTGATGGTCGAAGACCCACCCTCCTGAGCTATCACACGACACTCGGCTGTGTCCCTGCCTGTGGTCAGATTCACAAGCCCTGACCATATCCCAAGCTCCTCAGCCACAGCCACAGGCTTCCAAGTCAAATCTTAGCCACATCTCACCTGTACAGGCCCCAGTCAAGTTAGCCAAGTCTCTAGACTTCCAGGTCACCCTCCAAGGCCCAATCCCATCAGAAGCTGGCTGACATGGATAGGGCCCTAGCCCATGCCCCCAAGTCCTGTCTGTTTTTAGGTCCAGGGACCATAGGGCCCTCACACAGGCAACAAGTCCTCCTGCATCCTCCCAAGAGTTGACCCAACCAATTAACCTGTAAATGCCCTATGAGCTAAAGCCTCGAGCCCCATCCACAAACCCACACTCACATGAGGTCCCAGTCCAGAGACTCCCTCTCCACATCCCGCATGAGGTTCATCAGGCGCCTCTTGAAGAAGATCTCAAAGCGCAGGTCATCCTCAAAAACTAGTGATTTCTGCAGCTCCCGGTCCACAACCTGAGAAAGGAAACCTCAGCTGGGTCACCAGGAGACCAAGGTGCAGCCTAACTTTGAAGACAGTTCTACTTAAAGGCTCTGAGACACTGGGAGTAGCAAGTGCTTCCCTTCCCTCACCAGATCCAGAAGCACCTACTGGTCACCACCACCTCCTCCTTGTACACTTGGCAACAGACACCTGGTATCTGCCTGACTGCTCCTTCCACCCTGGGGCCTCATGTGGCTGGCAGCCTCCCTCTCACCCTTCAGCTCAGCTTAAATGTCACCCACCCTTCCCAACTATGCTTCAAAGTCACCAGTTGAGGATAATTAATAGTCCTGGTCCCCTCCTATAGATGCATCTCACTTATTTTTTTTTTTTAAAGGTTTATTTATTTAGTTTATACAAGAACCGGGGTACAGGCCAGATGCACGGGAGGGTGAGAGGATTCACCAGAGACAGAGCAGGGAACAGAACAGGCAGATTGATGAAATACACTGCTAAGGGGAGCAGCGGGTGCAACAGGAGAGGTCTGCCGCGCCATGTGGGACCCTCGCTGGCAGGCCGGGATCAAACCAGCACTGCAGGCTGGGGACAGCTTCACAGCGCTAAGCTCAACAGCCTGCGCCACCAGGGGAGGCCTCTCATTTATTTCTTTGTGATTTATTGTCAGGTTCCCATCTCCTGGGGCTGAGTTCATTGTGGGGGGCCAGCACGGTCTTGGCAGCTGTCAAGTCACTAGCAATAGCACAGACGGGTGCACAGTAGGTACTTGGCAAATTTTCCCTAAACAAATAAACTTTAGAATCTTCATGACCTCAGTCCACTGAGGTCACAACTGTCATTTGGGAAAACTGAAGCTCAGACTAGGAAGAGCTTTCCTTGCTCAAGAGTTCACCCTTCAAAGAAGCTGGGCTGGACTTGAAGTTGGGTTTTCTCTGCGTCCAGGGCTGCCTGGATACCAGAGCCTCTGGCCCAGGCCATCCATGCTGACTCTTAGAAAAGGAGGGCAAACTAGTGAGCATCCATTGCCTCCAACTTGATGCCACTGCCCAGGTACCTTCACTCCCTACATCCAGACGTCCTCTCTGCCTCACACCTGATGACCCCAGGTTAAATCCGGCCTGGAATCCTCGCCCATGATAGCCTTTTCACCCAAGAGTGGTTGACAGGCCCCTGGGCTAATGGGGCACCTCCAGCATGGGGTCCACATTGGTCAATGTCACCATGGCTGTTACTTTCATCAGCAAAATTGGAGCACACACTCCAGGCTCCAAAGACATTTGACAGCGGTTGAGCAAGGAGAGAACTCGCCTAAGGTTCCAGAGCCCCAGACCCCACCTGTTCCAGAAGCTGGGCTCCCCTCCTCTGCCTCCAATTCCAGTTTTCACCATCTGTACAATGAGGGACTATAGCTGCCCCACCCAATATTCAGTGAACAGTTTAGGGTTGTCATTCCCTAAAGGAGACTGTTTGCCTCCCTAAATCACCCCCCAAGAACCCACCTCCTTCCAGATGTTGTAGTGGCTGAGGAAGCAGCCCAGCTCACCCTTGGTGAGGGGCCGACCGTGGTAGGGATCCCGGTAACCTGGCAGCATCTGAATGCCCAGTGCCTCCACCTGGCTAGTGTTCATGGCCCTAGAAAAGGTAAAGGAGGGGGTCCCTTGAAGAGCCGTTCTGCTGGGGAGTCTACCATTAGTGCCCCCCACCCCCATCTCCTGTTGTCAGCATCCCACATGGCCCTAGGCGGTGGCCCGGCCAACCAGCCAGGATATGGCGAACACGCAGACCTGCCAGACCCCTGCCCAGGGTCAGACTCACTTCCCATCCACAGCCTCCACCCTGTAACCTGTGCAGGTCTGCTCCTATCTCCCTGCTCCCAAATGACTCACTTGGCACACGCAGTCTCCACTAGTGTGGCCTACACCCAGTGTGACCATTATCCCCATTTTCACACTCACTTGCCATCCACCGCCTCCACCAGCCGGCACTCGATCCCCTGTGCCTGCAGAGCCCGTAGCATGCGCTCCCGCCGGTCCAGCCGCCGCTTCAGGTTGATCATGAAGACCTGGGGCCCAAAGCCTCCATGGGACCCTCCATTGGTCCCTCCATCAGACCCTCCAGCCTCCACCCGCCCCCCAGGGAAGGTCTGCCCACCTCGTCAAAGCCCATCTTGTCCGGCATGGCAGTGGGCACAGAGATGAACCGGGAGGGTTCCACAGGAGGGTGTTTCACTGCAGGGCAGAGAGGAGAGGTTGCTGGTATCCTGGGGACTTCCTGCTCTCCCCAGTGCCCATTCTCCACACCCCTGTGGTTCCCTATCACCCCAACTCCCCGGTCTCCTCTGCCTATCTGCAGTACAGACACCAGGTCTGTTCACTCCCACTGGGTTCCCAGTGCTCCACACAGGGCTCAGAGCACAGCAAGAGTCAGTGATCACCCACAGAATAAACGAGAATAAACAAGGTAGAGCGCCAAGTGACTTTGATTGATCTGGGCTGTGGCTTTCCTTCTCTACACGATGGGCTTAATAAACCTCCTAGAACAGATGCTCTGAAGTCACAAATGCTGTCATGGGCTGACTTGTGACCAATCTCCCAAAAAAGACCTGTTGAAGTCCTAACCCTTGGTAGGGGATGTGACCTTATTTAGAAATATGGTGTGTACAGAGGTAGTCAAGCTAAAATGAGTTCATTAGCGTAGGTCCTAATTAATGACTGGGATCCTTATAAAAGTGGGAGATTTGGACTTAGAGATACCCACAAGGGTAGATGTGAGAAGACATGGGCAGGAGGCGGCCGAGTGACTGGTGGGACGCGTCTACAAGCCAGCGTGTGACAGGACTCAGAGTGGTGGTGACTGTTGCCTTTGGCTGTTGTGGGTGACACTCAGACTATAGCCCTGGGCCTCCGACACATCCTTAACAATTTCTCGCAGGAAGATGGAATCCATGTTGGACATGAGCCCAGTGCGGCTCCTGCCCACCCACCAGGCCAGCCCAGAAAAGCTCCACATGGCAGGGAATGTGCCGTTCACCTTGTCAAGAATTAAGGCCCTGCATGAGCTTAAGGAATAGACACAGGCCCCTCTGTCTAGGAGGGAACTAGAGGCCCAGAACCATCTCAGTACCTCCCACTTCCCAGCCGGGGTTCCCCCAGTACACCATGTGCTGGGCTTCTCCCCTCCCTGTACAGGGTCCTGCCCAGCTCTGATCACCCCCACTGCCCTCTTCAGAGTAGCATGAGGTACCAGGGCAGGCTTTTGGGTACCAGAACCCAGGTTCAAATCCTAGGTGTCCTTCCCAAAGAGAAGTGTGGCTTTGCCCCAGTTCCTGGAGGCAGACATCTTTGGCCATGCAGCAAGGCCAGGGAAAGGCCCTGGTGGCTGGGGGTTCAGAGACTGGGAGCTGCATGAAAATGCTGCCCCTGAATGCAAGTCCACTTCTATGGAAAGGGCAAAGGCTAGCAGCTGATGGAATAGGGACGGGGTGAGGGGTGCCCAGGGCAGGTGATCTGCAGACCAGGATATAAAACAATCATCACGGTGCACAGGTTGTCACCACGTATGCTACAGCTCAATAAAGGTGACTTATACCAAGACAGTTTACAGGACCAACTGGGAAAGACACCCCATCACCCATGAGCACATGGGTAAGGAAGCAAGTTGTAGGATTTCCAGCACACAGGGATGCCACCTTGTACTTTTCCACAGAGTGAGATTTTATCATTAAGATTTCTAAACACATGAAAAATCACATGGACAGTCTAGGTCTAGGTCCCCACACACGGGTGGACAGAAAATGCAGTTTTCACTGGACCATGAAGCAGGAGGTGCACACATATTCATGTGTCACTCAGCAACAGGGACTTGTGCTGAGAAATGTGTTGTTAGGTGACTTTGTCTTGGTATGAACATCACAGTAAAATCACACCAACCTCTAAGGTATAGTCACAAGAGGACAGGGTGCAATTCCATCTTTAGCCACCAAGGGGAGCCCCCACACAGGGAACCTTCTAGAAACAGATTAGGGTGAGAAACAGGCCAAGGGCCCAGTCCCTGCAACCCCTCCCTGTCTGCACAGTGGGAGGGCTTCAAGGAGATGTGTGTGGTCAGCAGGAATGGCCTATTCACTCTGAATACTCTGACCAGAGGAGGCCCCTCCTCAAACAGCAATGTGGAGGCAAGGCTACCACTGAGAAATCACCCTGTCTCCAGACCCACCAGAAGGATGACTGTTAGTTGAATAACAGAATTATTTGAATGGGTATTAGAAAAATAAGAGTTTGCAGTGATGGCAAAAATGTGTCAATTCCTGTTTTAGATAAACGAATTCAAGTGGGAAAAAAAAAGTATCTGCTTAATATAAATATTAAATAAATAGTAGGTCTGGGGTTTGGTAGGGGCACAAATGAGGAAAAGGTCTGAAATGGCCACGTCCTAGACATGTATGTGATGATTCAGCAGTGAAAACCTGCTGCCCTCACCGCTCCCACATCCTCCCATGCTCCCGATGGCCCCCCAGGAAAAGGCAGGCTCCTCAGTCCAGTCTGAGGCCCTGCCAGCTAGCCATGCACAGTTTACCAGCCCCACTTCTGTCCGGCAAACCTTGCCTGGTCCTGAGCTCATGTTCCCTCCAGATTCTCTAGCCTCTGAGCAAGTCCCCTCCTACTACAATCCTCTTTCTGGTTAACTCCTACTGACTTAGCACCTTAATGCCACCTCCCCCAGAAAGCTGACCCTAATTGCTCCAGCACACTATGCACAGATGCCTGTAAGTCAGTGCTCTGTGAGCACAGGGACAACCATCCACCTTGCTCACATCAGGTCCTCAGAGCCCAACAGAGAGACCGGCACACAGCAGACACTCTGTTCCTGGGATGGAGACCCGATGACAGAGAAAGGAAGGCAACTGGGCCCTCCTGGGTTGGCACAGGTGGACTCACCCATGACCTCCAGCTGCACATGCATGAAGCTCTCAGCCTCATCCTGGAGGGTGCTGTGGGCACGCAGTGGCACAGGCAGGAAGCCGTATACCTCCTTGTTGCAGACATACATCTGGATCTCTGGGCAGGGCAAACAACAGTGGAGATTAAAAAGAGATCAATGGATAGCAGTAGCCACTTTCTACCAGCAGTGTCAAGCTCACAGTCTCACTGGGGCCACAGCCTACAAAAGCCAACAGTTGCAGGCACAGCAAGATCCCTCAGCACTACACGAGGAGCTGGAGCCAGAACAGGGGTTCACCTTGTGCCGGCAGGCTGTAGGTTAAATACATACTGGGTGCTCCCAGGGCCTGTACAGAGATGAGAAATCAGAAATAACCCAGAGGCCACCGGGCAAGATGATGGAAAACTCTGGAACTATTAACAAATGTTGGCCCCTGCAGGAGTCTGTGACAAAGCAAACCACAAAACAGGGAGTGAATAGTAAAAATGTACTTTTGTGCACAAAAAGGAGATGCAATTGGACAAAACATTAGTAACAACACATCCTTCTGTACTAACCATTTTTGAACAGTTTAAATTTGTATCATGAGTGCCTATTTTTTCTTAAATGAAAAACTCCTTGATGCCCTTTTCATTTTAATTGGGTAACTTCTGTAAAGTACCAGATGGCAAATATTTTAGGCTTGTGGGCCAGATGGTTCTTCTCATAGACTCAGTTCTGCTGTGGCAAAAGTATTCAACATTTAAATGAAAGGGAGTGGCTTCGAGCCAATGAAACTTCATTTACAGGTACTGAAATTTGAATGTCATATAATTTGCAGGTATTATGTAATCTTTTTATTTTTTCCAACTATTTTAAAATGTAAGTCTTTCTTAGCTTGTGGCACTGCAAGAAAAGATGGCGGGCTGAGTTTGGCCCATAGGCAATTGTTTTCCAACCCTCACAGGTCCACATTTGGCTGTGTTCACTTTCTCTTTAAAATGCTATCCCCCTAATTACACAATTAATATATGCTCAACTCCAGAAAAGTAGGAGGATATATGAAAATACTGAGAGGTATATAACCTTCAATAAAGAGGTTTTATTGGGCCTCCTGGTGGCGCAAGGGGTTAAGCATAGCACTGTGAGGCTGTCTGCAGCCTCTGCAGCACCGAGTTCAATACCCAGCCAGCCAAGGAGCAACCCACATGGCACACAGACCTCTCCTGTCTCTCCCACTGCTCCCCTCAGCAGTGTATTTCAGTCAGTCTGCCTGTTCTGTTCCCCACTGTCTGGGGGATCCTCTCACCCCCCACACCTCTGGCCTGTACCCCAGCTCTTGTATGCATAAATAAATCTTTATAAATAAATAAATAGGTTTTATTTAAAGACCTTGAGAGAAAAAAAAAAAAGGCCCCAGGAGTGAAGCCAGCTACCAATACCAAAGCAGACATCATCTGAGCACCTGGATCCACCCATACCTGAAGCCATCCTTACACCATGCAGTTCTGATTCTGTGACCCTTGGCTTCTGTGGGCTACTTGCACTTGCTCAGCAGATGGTCCCCCAACAACCTTCCAATTCATCCCCATGATGGCAACTCCCGCCCCTGCCATGCACTCACCTGCCTGCTTACAGGAAAATGCAAAAACGATGATGTCATCAAAGGACCACGTGTAGTCAGGGTGCGGAGGGTAGAACGCCAAGTTCCGGGATGCTGTCTTCCTCAGGTCAATTAGAAAGGTTGAGTGCACCATGGGAACCGCAAAGCAGCCCCGGCGGTCCCGCTTGCGGATGGGGATATAGGCAGGCGTGCGCTTGTAGTAACCCTGCAGAAGGAGGCAGAGTTCACCATGGGGTTCCCTAGTGTGACACTGTGGTCTGGCGCCACTGTAGGACAGCAAGACCCAGCACCAGCTCTGACTGTGTGGGCAGCCCTGAGCTCTGGAGGCTGCTGCTCTCCAAGCCCCAGCCTGAGCCATGAGGGGTTATAGCAAACAAAAGGAAAGAGCTTCCCACTGCAGACCTAGCTACACACTTCAGATCAGAAAGAAAGCACGTGAAGGAGGAAATCAAAAAGCTTAAAAAGGGTCTATAATGTACAAACCTTTGATTTGTTCTTTGATTGAACATTAGAAGCACGACTTCAAGAAGTATGGGGAAAATATTCTAGAATTTTAAAAGCTTCTGGAACAACCTAAAGTTGACCTCTCTCTTCCCCATACCCTGTACAAATTGGAATTGCTAGTGTATGACAACTAAATTTCGATTACAATAACAAACACTGAATTATTCACTTTCAAATGGCAAATTTTATCCTGAAGAATAGAAAAGCAGTTCGCGCCATGAAAGCAGAATTGTGTGCTTCATCCAATCAAATGTGATGAGTGATACTCGGAGTTGATTTTATCCTTGTACATGTTCAGGACAGTGGCTCTTACAATCATGCTAAACATGTATTCTCATTAGAAAATGTTCAGTGCAGAAAAGGATGAAATAATTTGACTGGGACATGACAGAAGCTGTAACTGGGACAGACGTAACTGTAAGAAACCAATTAAAAGCAAATTCTACAAAACCTTATCAGCTAACTATAAAGAAGGAGGTATATAATTTAGATACCTGTAATTTATCTGAGATAAACACAAATAATTTTTTAGTGTAAGCATGTCCAATATTTTTCTTTCATCTTAGCATACATAGGCATAGGTAATTAGAAATAATTCAAATTTAACTGGGTGTCCTGTGGATCTTTTTTGTCAATTTTTTAATTGTGGAAAGAACAAATATTTATGCATCTCCTAGATGCATAAATAAATAAATAAATAGGTTTTATTTAAAGACCTTGGGAGAAAAAAAGGCTCCAGGAGTGAAGTCAACTACCAATGCCAGGGCAGAACAAAGAGAGTAGGAATAGGATGGGATGGTGTCTGGCATAGATCACCCAGCCCCTTCCCTCTGACACTACATCTCCCTTCATTCCCCCAGCTTTGCATGTAATCTCTGCCTCAACCCTGGTATGGGACTTGTGGCCTGACCTATTGGAGCTGGAATTTTCCTGTCTTCAGTACTTGGTGCAGGGGGGAGAAAAGTGAGTAACAGTCATTCAGAAGGGATTTTGAGTGGATGTTGCTGGGATCAAGCCCCAGGAATGATCTGAAAATGAAGCCAACCAAGGACCAAGGGAAGAGAAGGACATTGTCTAGACACCTGGATCTAGCTGTGTCCTATCCTGCCACCACCACTTCTTAACTGTGTGAGCTTAGGCAAGCCATACCCTCTCTCTGTATTTCTACTTTCCCTCAGTAATAGGAAGGGGAGTTGAGGGGAGAATACAATCATGAATCCCTTTAACTCTGTGCATAGCTTCCAAGTACTCCACCCAGGCCCCACCACCCCGAAGGCTCCTGCCTGAGCTGGGCAGCTTCCTGACCTGGGAGGTCATCCCACACCAGAAGTTGGAGTATGCAGCCCGGGAATCCAACATGGGGGCCACCACGGTTTTGTTCTCAGCCATGAGCAGGGTCAGCGTGTCAGGATTGAGAATCAGGTTGTCCGCATCCATGAACTGCAAAACATATGACATGGCATCAGCATGGGCCACCAGAGTGATCCAGGTTGAGCCACAGCTCAGATCTACTAGGACAAAGGCCTGACACCTCGGGGTCTAGGCACCAGGACTAGCACATGGGCCCTGAAAGCCACCTAGCTCAGTCTTCAATAATAAGCCAAGTTCACACAACCAAATATACCCAGTAGTAAGAGAAGGGACCACCCAGAACACGAACAGACACAACAGCAGCACACAATGGCTCCATCTATGGGGACTTTAGAAATGGGCAGTGCAGGTCAGTGAGGACAGTCATGGCAGAGGTCACCTGCATGGGGAGAATCTGGGATGGACACGCTTATTTCTATGTGAGTTAGATGCCAATAAAATAAATTAAAAAAAAAAAAACAGGATCTTTACATAAGCTGATTTTTTTCCTTGGATGTTGGGGTTAAAAAAAACTCATTTGTTACTGCAAAGAAAAAAATCTAGGAGGAAACTTGGTATCAACCCATAACCAGGGTCACCATGGGGAGAGGGAGGGGTGCTGCTGGTCCTCCCAAATCCATATGTCACCAACACCTTCCAGACAGACCCACTGGGATGCTCGCTGCATTGTGGATCTTTCTTGTCAATTTTTTTTTAAGTGTGGAAAGAACATTTACCATGAGATCTATTCTCTTAATAAAACTTTAAGCCTTACAATATGCAAAGTTTTTTTTTAATGGTGCATTTTATATTATGAGAATTGCCATCAAAAAAGATAGTAGGCAACAGGATGGGACGGGCACAACCTGAAGTCCAGCAGCAGCGAATCAGGTAGAGAAGTTCTGGCCCTTCCCAATGCAGAACAAAATGTCAGCAGAGAACCGTGCCACAGAAAGCCAGGAGGCAAGTGTCAGAGGGGCCCATGAAGTCAGCACAGGACTGAAAATGGACCTATCTGATTGGAGCACCTATGGGCAACAACCAGGTTCCAGCTTGCACTAGTGCCAAAGGGGCTCCTGGTGTTCGGGTCTGAAGCCTCCATACTGGTCAGGTCAGCCAGCACCAGTTACATAGCTGGCACTGTAAATGGACCAGTCTGATGGGAGCTCCCACCGGTGCCAACCAGGATTGAAAGGCAGGCACTCTGAAGAGCACAGAGTCAGGCTCCAGTCAGGTTAGTCCAGACTCTCCCAGGAAAACTCTGTAGCGGTGTAACTGGGTCCCTGTGCTCTGGCACCGTTCCATCCCAGGCCTGACCTGCCTCCAACATCACCTGCTGAATGACACCACTGGCCCTGTCTAGGTGTCCCTACAGGAGCTGTTTGCTGTTGGCTTTATGGCCAGCATCTCCAAGAGCTAGCACACTGACCCCTGTGCTGTTGCCCTTGGCGCTAACTGGTCTGGTGTCCAGTGCTGCTGTCTTGGCCTTTGGATTGTGGTCGCTGACTGCTGTGATGCCACCTCTAGCGAGACCTTCGCAAAGACCTTTGAGATCTTTGCATCAATCTGCTTCAAACCACAGCCGGACCAGTGCTACGGCCTCTGGCTCTGCCTCTAACACTTTCCTTTCTCCCAACTTCTCTCACTCTCTTTCCCCTTTGTAAATAAGCCATGTTGTTGTTGAACCCTGAGCCTGTGCTGTATCTGGCCATCGAGGTTGTAAGTGCACAGCTGAGAACCCACCAACCGTGGCATCGGCCTCCCCAGCTGTGTGTGGTTTCACAAGGACACTGCTGCCTACCAGGATGTGAAAACACACAGGTCTTGGTATGTGGCACAGCTATTAAGAGGTGGGTGCTTTTTCTTAATGTATCTGGTCCTCAAACAAGTTCTTGTTACCCACACAGATCTTTGGAATGTTTAGATCACTTGCCTTACAACAATGGCAAAAAGTGGAACTCCAGGCTTCCCTAGCAACATGGAATGGCATTCCTGAGGGTAACCCTCAGCTGGACAAGGGGGGGTGGCAATCCCTGGGGATAAACCATGTGGTGGGGTAGTGTTCCCAGGCCAGCCTCTGCACACATTTGGATCTATGACCTTTGACTGCATATGTAGTAAAACAGCCAGAACAAGCTACTCCTAAGTGTACAACAAGAGAACTGGACACGGGCACTCAGACAAACATCTGCACACCCATGTTCGCAAACACATAACCCACAACAGCCTGACGGTGAGGACAACCCGCGTGCCCATTGCTGATGAAGCATGAATTCAATGTAGCCCATTGATACGGTGGAGTATCACTCAGCTGGGAAAAGGAGGGAAGCCCTGACACACGCTCCAAAGTGAATGAACTGAAAACTTGACGCTGAGTGAGAGGCCAGACACAAAAGGCCACACGGGGTGTGAAAAATCAAGAATAAGCGAGTAGATAGATAGTGGATTAGTGGTTGTCAGTGACTGCTCAGGGGAGGGGGGTCTCCTTTTGGGGTGATGGAATGTTCTGGAACTAGATAGAGGTGGTGGGTGCACATCATAATGAATGTACTTAACACCCCTGAATTGTTCCTTTAAAACTTAATTTTCTGTTTTGTGAAATTGTCCCTCAATTAAAAACCACAAAAACAAAAACAAAACAAAACAAAAAAAAAACAGCCAGACGGTCAGTCTCTCTGGGAGGTAAGATTACAAGTTTGTGTTTTTTTCTTTTCTTAAGCCTCTCATTTTTTTCTTGTATGCTTTCTTACAAGTAACGCCCACAATGTTTGTAAAAAGAAGAGAGGACTTTTTAATACTAATTTAAGCCTGTTAAGACAAATGAGTTCACATTCTAATGCGGATTTCCAAAGTCCCCACTTACAAAAATATATGGCTACGTCAAAAGCTTCTTTGAGTTTTAAACTAGCACCTTGAGTTCCACCCAGATTTGCAGAGGGAAAAGTGGTGAAAACCTTCCAACCTCAAACAAGGGAAGCAGACAAGGTAGGCCTGTGCTAGGTCCAGCAGGCCCATCCCACCAGGCAGGCTGCGACCTCCTTCTTTAAGCCTCCAGGGGACCTTCTGTAAATGGTCTTGTAAGGCACTAACTCACGGGTTCCTCGGAGAGCCTGCCCCACCCCGCCCCTTCCCAGGGCACAGCCCCTTCCTCCCCACAGGGTGTGTGGTCTGCTGGGCTCTCTCATGTCCAGTCCCCAAGCAGGGCCCGTTACCTCCGCCTCAGAAGGCATCCTGACCCCGCCTGCCTTTCTCTACCCTGGCTTCCTGCTGTCCCTACTCCTGATGTGACAACTTTGCTCCCCACAGCAGTAGCAGAGGTTTCTGAAAATCATCAATCAGCACATCTCTCCCCTGCTCACAGACACCCTCCATTGGTCCCCATTACCCTCAGAGTAAAAGCCTGGTGCCCCTTAGTATCACCCTCTCCATCTCTCCAGCCACTCTGGCATCCTTTCCAGTCTTTGGACACTCCAAGTTTGCCCCCTGCCTTGTTCCCTCAGCCTCAGACACTGTCCCCGAGCCCTACCAAAGCTGCTGCTTTTGCTCCTTCCAGTCTTGGCTTGGCTCCCCTCCTAAGGGTTACCCCCACTCCTGCATGTTCATCACCCCCATCCTGGTTATGCCATCTGTCATATTGGTTAAATGGTGTTCTCCCCAAATTATGTTGATGTCCTAAGCCTTGGAATCCGACTGTGACCCTATCTAGAAATAGGGTCTCTGCAGATGTAATTAAAATGGAAATTAAGGTGGGCTCATGCCAGAGCAGGTTGGGCCTTCTAATAAGAGGGGAAACAGAGAGAAGTCCATGTGACCAGAGAGACAGAGACTGGGGTGATGTGGCCACAACACAAGGACACGTGGAGCTCCCGGAAGCTGGAAGTGGCAGGACATCTCCCATCTTAGGCCCTCCAGAGGGAACACGGCCCTGGACACATGGATTTCTGACTACAGCCTCCAGAACTATGAGGAGTGAACTTTGGTACCTTAAGCCCTTCGCGTGGGTGCTTTGTTCTGATGGCCCAGGATTGTGGGATAACACCAGCTGCCTTTCTTTAGCTGTCACGCTGCACCAGCTGCATCTGGACTTCCTGTCTGGTTCCTAGTGACACCTACTTTTCCTGGGTCACTAGGAAGGTGGGTCAGCCTGTGTTGATTCTTACCATACCCACAGGGCCGAGCACAGTGAGTGGCTTGTAGGTATATATTGACTGGTAAATAAAGCAGGGACAGGCTCCAGTTCAGAGCCCAGCATGCAGACAGAAACCCACCACAGGGATAGGCTGGCATGACTGCATCCAACCTCCATGGAGGGCCAGGCTCGGTGCCCACTCTCTCCCCATCGGCACCAGAGGGCAGGAGCACGCCCAAGTCATAAGGAGGGGAGACAGGAGCCTGCAGCAGGCCTGGGACCTGTGGCACTAGTCCAAACATTATTGTGTCCAATAGACTCAACTGTCCCCTTCCTCCCAGAGGCAATGGTCGCCCAGGAGGAGGAAGCGAAAATGAGGCCTCAGCAGCTCAGTGTCCCCAAGACTCCCAACCCTATTCCTGTGTTTCTCAGAAATCACCTGGGAGCACCATCATGGGCTGCGAAGACTTGGTGTCACTGTGACTGTGGCCAAGGTGAGAGAATCCAAATGTCCAGGACGGCTAGAGATACAGGAATCCACCTGTTCTTCATGATAAAGGACCCAGGCACCCCCATCAAATCCCAGCACCCCTGCTTACCAGCTGTCACCTCTGGTAACTCAGACCCCCCTCAGAGTCTCGGTTTCCCTTTCTGGGAAACAGGGTTTTAAGGTTCCTCTTCACACACCCTGACCTCCCACTGTGATCCACTGGCCAGCTTACCAGGATGTAATCAGCCCACATGTCCCGGGCCGCCTTCAGAGCCGCCTGGCGCAGCTTCATGACATGCTCGTAGCGCGAGTCAGACCAGTGTTTGGGGCCCTCTTCATCCGGGTAGGACCTGTGCAGAGGCAGCAGTGACACAGGAGGCATGGGGTACTGAGAGAGCCCGGAGAGGGGTGGTCAGAGAAGGCTTCCTGGAGGAGGGGATATAAAAGCTGCACCTCAAGGCTAAGAAGCAAGAGGAGAAAACAGAAGCAGGAAGAATGTCCTGGGCACCAGCACAGCATGAACAGAGGCCCAGAGGGAAGGGGCCTTTAACACCAAGTAGGGTCACTCCTGAGGGCCTGAGGAGCCCCTGGGAGAACACACAGAGCAGAAGAAACCTGAAACCTGTCCCCCCAGATACGGAATCTGGGAACAAAGCAATGGGTGTCTACTAGAAAGACAAGGGGTGAGGGAATTCTAGGTAGAGGGACTGACAGGGGCAAAGGTCAGGTGAATAGTTTAGTTAGGGCCTGCTGGTGAAGCTGAGGGCTGGGTCAGAGTAGCCAGTGCCAGAAGAGCTGGTGTCCCATCCCAGGGCAATGGGGAGCCAAAGAGATGTGTGAAATGGGGTTCAGCCAAGTCTGACTTGAGGGGTTTGGGGCAGAGCCTGGTGCTCACCTGGGATCCTCTGCTGGCCGCCATTCCACAGAGTGGTATAAACTCTTCACGGCCACCAGCCACTCCCGCAGCACAGCTGACGTGTTGTCTGTGTTGTGGTCTGTGGCCACCCTGTGGGCAGAGACAGGCAGTCAGCAAGTGGGAAAACTGAGGCAGGACAGGGCAGCAGAGAAGCAACCTGGGCTCTGCACCTCAGCTTGGCTTCCTATTAGCTACACAGCCCTGGGCAGTTACTTCCCCTCTCAGTGCCTCAGTTTCCTCGTCTTCAGGAGCAAAGACAGGACCCACTTCACCGGGTTGCAGAAGGCATTAAATAAACTAATTTTGGAAAAAGCATTAGGAGCTCTGAACATTGTTTTTTTTTTTTTTTGATTTATTTATTTATTTATTATTTATTTATTTTATTTATTTATTTGTACAAGCACTGGGTACAGTCAGAAGCGCGGGAGGGTGAGAGAATTCACCAGAGCCAGAGCAGGGAGCAGAGCAGGCAGAAGGACCAAGTACACTGCTGAGGGGAGCAGCGGGCGGCAGGAGAGGTCTGCGCGCCATGTGGGACCCTCCTCCGGTGGCCGGGGAGCAGCCGGGGATCAAACTGGCGCTGCAGAGGCTGCAGTCAGCTTCGCAACCCAGCGCTCAACCGCTGCGCCACCGGGGAGGCCCAGGAGCTCTGAACACTGTTGAGCATCTAAGATCTCATAACCAGCTTTGTACTAAATGCGCACAATTCAATAAAAGTCATTTGCCCCATTCCATCCTCCTGGAGCCTCTGAGCTACACTGTCTCACAATGGGCTTTGGTTACTCATTCACTCAATCAATATTTCTTATGCATGGCGCAGCTTAAATTGTCCAGGCTGGGAGTCTGGGGTGAAGGGAAAGGGGCATTTGGGAGAGTCTATTTAACCATGGAGTCAAGAGCTGTACTGCCAAATGAACTGTCACTAAGTCAACAAGGAGAGCAGTGGTGACAGCATGACAATAACAGCTCTGGACACTGAGCGCCAGCCCAAGGGCTTTACACCCATTAACTGGTTAATCTTCACAGACAACCCCAGCCAGATGAGGAACCTGAGGCAGGAAGCCAAAAGTCACCAGTCAGACTTCATGGTTCTGCCCGCCGCCCTGGGCCATGGACGCCATCTGATTCCAAACCCCCTCCGCGCGCAATGGGGTCTGAATCAGGCTGGGGTCAGGGGCCCGTGCAGCAGCAGCAGCCGCGAAAGACTCAGTCAGTAGACATGCAATGCAGCTGCTCTCCCATGGGAACTCTTCCTTGGAGTTAGGAGTGCTCTGAAGGTGGAAGAGAGGGTTAGTGTCCCGGGTTGGCACCGGCCCTGAGCTGGACACTCTCTACAACAGCCGGTCCCAGACCTACCAGAAGAGAAGGGTGGAGGCGGGTGGGGGTGTGCAGCAGGCTAGGCAGTGACTCAACCCTCCCTAAAGGGGGCAGCAGGCAGAGCAGGGGCCCTGCCGATCCTAAGGAGGTGGTGAGGGAGGATGGAGAGCAAGAAGAGGGCTCGCGTGGGTTTGGACCACCCGATGGGGACAGCAGGCAGAAGCACATGTGGGTCCATCCCCATGGGGACAGCAGGGAGGGCACATGCGTGTGCCCGCCCCACGGGGACAGCAGGCAGGGAAAGGAACAGTGGGCCCGCGGGATGCGGCAGCAGGCCGGACGCGGGCCGGCAGCGCTCACCATAGCGCGGTGCGCTCCCGTGGGTGCCGAATCCGCTCCAGCGCGCCCAGGGTGGCAGGCAGCGCGTGGGCCGCGTTCCGCGCCAGCAGCGCAATGAGCACTCGCGGCGCCTGCAGCGGCGATTCCGGGCTCCAGCGCTCCTCGGGGAAGTAGGCGGCGGCGCCCGGCGGGCCCCCAGGAGGTGGCAGCGCCAGCAGCAGCAGCAACAGCAGCGCGGGGAGCGGCCGCCCGCGCCGCCGGAACACGCGTGGGACCACCGCCATCGCGCCACGCGTCGCCTTTAAGCCGCTTTTATGCCGGCGGATGCGGGCCGCGCCTTAAGGGAGCCTTGGAGGCCACGCCCTTCTGTCGCTCCTTAAAGGGGAGGAGAGCGCTTGATGCCAATCAGTCGTCAAGGCCCGCCCTCAGGCTACGTCCCCCAAGGGCCTTAAAGTCACTTCGCCGCAGACCCTCCGAGACGTTGTTCTGCACGGACGCCCGGCCCCGCTCCCGCCTTAAAGGCCCAGAGCTCTCTGAACTGTTCAGTACCGAGCAGCTCAGAACCCGCCAGCCTCGGGGCACCTGCTCTCGCCCGGACCCCAGTCGGATACACCGTTCGACTTCCATTACTCTAAGACCCAGGTAGTCCTGAAAGGACCTGGTTTGGAACCCAAAAGATCTGAGCCTCAGTTTTTTCGGCTATAACCTTGATTTTCCCACCCTGGTTCCGGACCTCGCTGTGACGTCCCTGGGAGATGGTGGGGCATTGAGCTCAGAGCCCTCGCGTCCCCAGACCAGGTTCACGGGCAAACTCCCGCGCTGGCTTGCTGTGTAAAAGCATCAGTTTGTCCTTTTGTAAATGGGGGTCATACTGATCCTACGCCTTAAGATTGGCATGAGATGGAGACAAACGATCCTTGAAACCGCTCCAGAGACAGGGCGGATGTTTCCATAAAAATGCTAAGGCAGGGCCTCCCTGGGGTGCAGCCGGTTGAGCGCAGCGCTGTGAAGCTGTCCTCAGCCTCTGCAGCGAGGGTTCGACCCCAGCTGGCCAGGGAGATACCCACAGGGCGCAGCAGACCTCTCCTGGCTCACCCGCTGCTCCCCTCAGCAGTGTATTTCAGTCAATCCACCTGTTCTGCTCCCCACTCTGTCTCTGGTGAATCCTCTCACCCCCCACACCTCTGTCCTGTACCCCAGCTCTTGTGTGTATAAATAAGTAAAATAAATCTTTAAAAAAATTTTTAATGCTACCCGGGGATTGTTTTGATGTCATTCGTAAAAAATCAGTTTTTAAAATGATGCTCAGGGGCCTCCCCTGGTGGCGCAGCGGTTGAGCGCTGGGCTGCGAGGCTGCCCGCAGCCTCTGCAACGCGGGTTCGTTCCCCGGCCACCGGCGAGGATCACACACACACACCAAAAAAAAAAAAAAAAAAAAAGGAAAAGAAAGATGCTCAGTTGTATGTTTATTAAGGTGTATTATTAAGTCTGTGAAAAGGTGATTTCCGGGGACTCCGTGGTGGCACAAGGGGTTAAGACGCAACCTATGAAGTTATCAGCAGCCACGAGTTATCGTGCAGCACGAGTTTGATGCCTGGCCAAGGAGCTACCCACATGGCACAGCAGACCTCTCCTGTCTCGCCCACTGCTCCCCTCAGCAGTGTATTTCAGTCAATCTACCTGTTCTGTTCCCCACTCTGTCTATAGTGAATCCTTTCACCCCCACCCCCTCACCTCTGTCCTGTACCCTAGTTCTTGCATAAATAAATAAATCTTAAAAAAAAAATAAAGAGAGAAAGAAAAAAAAAGTGTCCACTGTGAAATGGAACAGGAGAACCAGTAAAGAGAAAAAGCATTACTTGTGTCAGGTCCCAGATCAGGCTGCTCCAAGATGTGCCAAAGAAGCAAATTGATTATTTTGAATTACAGAAACAGCTGGTGAATGAATGACACCCTAAGCCTCCTTTCTCCTAAAACAGGACTTTTCTCTGACCCTCTTCTCTCTTCCCCTGAAAGCAAGAAACAAATCTTTACGTAAAAGGCAGCCTCCCTGAACAGAGATGGAGACAGACATTCTTACCACCAGAGATGGGATGGAAAACTGGGTAAACAAGCTCACTAAGTTAGTAATCCCAAACTTTAAGGAATTTCTTTGTCCTATCTGTTCTTCTCAGATTTATTGCTTCTTTGTCTAAAAGCTAAAACTGACTGTTGCAGCCAATCCCTAGATTCCATATCTCATGACCTGTGTGCACAAATTAAAGTTGCCTTTTCTTTTCCTAATCTCTCTCTTGTCAATTTAACATGGGACTAGTGAAAGAAGCCAAAGTGGGGGAGACCCTCTGGAGACTGTCTCATCTGAAGTGGGCCAAGGACATTTTAACTAGGCCAAATACCTTTGGACTGTGTCAAAAGCAATTGTTTTAAGAAACCATCAAGCAAACAATTGTTTGAGAAGTTATTCTGATCAGAGCTGATAAATATGGACTTTTAACAGGAGGGTAGAATCAGTCGGATCCCTTTTCAGAAGGATTCTCTTTCTAGAGAATCAGTAACAAGTTGGGTATAGACAGAAAAGAATAGATAACCAAGATAGTCCAGAATAGCTTATTAACACTAATCAGCTCTTTTTTTTTTTAACCTTTTACCATATCTTCTTCTTTTCCTCCCGTAGAATCCCCTGACTTCTATATTGGGGGAATATTTTAGGTTTTCTACCTGAAACTGTGTACCCTGAATTGCAAGTCTTCAATCCCAAATAAACATGCTTTGCCTTTTTAATTTGCCTTCTGAATTTTTATATTGACAACTGAAATTCAAGATGCAATGAGCATGTCGTTGTATGCAAGGGACAAAAGGAGCTTAGGTTTAAGGAAGTAACAGGGGACAGTTGACTTGGCCAGAAAAAACCCAGCTGAAACCACAAATCTCCCAACTTGGCCAACAGGATCACTAATAGCTGCCCTTCCTGCTCTTGGTGCTCTTCCTCTAATTTCTTCTCTTTCCTTTGCATCTGTTTTCCAATTATTTTCTAGAGTAATCATCTGTGCAAGTTAAGGTTTGAGCTGAAACTGCATTTGGAAACGCAGTGTGATTTTTCAAGTTCCAGGATTGATTCCAGGTGGAGGAAAGGGAATAAGGGGATGGGGCCAAACTTGGTCACTACTGATGAGTCACATGGGAGCCTCTACTTTTTGAGTACACTTGAAACTTTCTGTAATAAAAAGGCAAACACAAGTTTACATTCTATAGACTTGGTAAGGAAGAACTTTCATGTTAAATAAGAAAAACCGGGCGATCAGATGCAGCCAGTACCCGATATACTAAGAAAAGATTGAAAGGATTTAGACCCTGGAACAAAGAGTGGTATCTTCAAAGAGGTACAGGATGACAAATTCTTGTTGCTTTAATTTTTCTACAATTAACATCTATATCCTGGGTAAAAAGAAGCCAGCTGGGCAAGGCTGTTAAGTGCAAATGTATCTTGGAGGAGAAAGTCAGAAAAGGTGAGGTAAATCTCATTCCCTTGGGGGAGGGTGAAAACTCCAGGGTACAATGGGAGTGTGTGGGTACTTTTGAAAGCTAAACTGATAAAAAAAACATTGGGGAAATCCCTCCGGAACCGGCTCCGGAAACAACTGGAAAGCTTGTGATGTGGGGAAGCTGCCAACCTTGCGTGGACAGATGACTTTTCTGGCAAGCAGAAGGAAGTCAGTAAATGCTTTTCTCTCAGCAGAGAGAAAAGTTAAGATTTGAAGTGAGTATACACACCCAAAAGTTGCACAGTAAACTGAGAAAACAAAATCTGTAACTTGTATAACAAAGTGTTACTATCCTTACTATGAAAAGAGTTATTAGATATCAATAAAACAGGTGCAGGTTTATGTCCCTTGAAATGCTACATGTTTTGATTCAGATACTATGCTATAGACATTTATCTAATGGGAATGAGGATAGATGTGGGCAAAAATTCAGCTCCAGAATGTCCTTTGAAGAGGCAGTAGTCAGAGTGACTGGACCTTGGCACTAGAATCTGGCTATCTCTCAGTCCTCTTGAGTATCGGTTTCCTCATCTGTAAAATGGAAAGTGTCACAAGAGTGGCAACAAAATCAAGTACATCAAATGTCTATCACATAGTAAATGCTCATTAAATGGAAATTTATGAGCACCCAAAAGTCAGAGCCAAGAGGAAGAACATTCACAGGGATGGAAGGTGTTTGTTAAACATAGGAAAAGATTTCGACTTCATTTCCAATAATATGTACTCATTAAAAAGATGCCATCTTATACACAGATGATCTGAGAAATTCCTGTGAGGCATGAGGCCCACCACACACAAGTGAGAGGCACCTATTAGGACCATTGGTGGAAAGTGCTCTGGAGCCCCCTACTGAAATGACAAACACTAGCTCTAAACCCCGAGATTTGACAATGAGTGCTTAACCTACAGAGACCAGCATTTGCATGCGAAGCAAACACGAGGGCATTCCCTGTGGCACTAACTTTAGTGCAAAAGACTAGGTCAATTCTGGTAAAATGGAGTAAGGGACCCATTCACAATCCTTCATTCCCAACGACAAATTCCTAGATAATCCCACCCTGGAAGTATTTGCATTGGTAATCTTGTAAGTATTTCTTAAATGTGTGATCTTCATTTACCCCAGTGGGTGTCAATGTTTGTGGGTCTGCTAGACTTAAGTGGCCTGTTCAACCACCATTATGGTTACCTATGGTTCTGTATTCCTATACAAAGGTCAGAAGTGCCCAGTCAATCAGTCATATGAGCCAAACCTTACAAAGTGCCTTTCCAATCAATCAAGAGCAGAAAGTTTGATCACTCTGGGAAGGCTATGCATCATGAGATATGACCGGAAACGCCCGGGGGACCAAGGACCGATGTATGACAAGGGACCCCAGAACCTGATCAGCGGAATGCCTTGTTGATAAGATTAGGACCATGGCCAGGGGTCTGTGGTCTGGTTTCGATTACAACACTTGGTCATCAAGTTGATAACATGGTCAGCAGACTCATGTCTCCCCAAGTCCTAGATGACATTCCTGAGTTTCACCCATCCTTTCTTCTTGTCCTCCTAACGCACGTAGCTGATGCTGTATGATTATTCTATCAGTAAAAATGGCCAGGACCTTGCTCTTGAGCAGCATCCTGCATTGTGCAGCCTGCTTCATGACTCCCATGTCTTTGTCAGTGTGATGTTGCCTGATGCAACAAATGTTCATCAGTTTATCGATAGCGGTTACCTACCAGGTGCCACCAGATCAGCTGGGAGGTATATTGTCCGCTATAGTTTCATAACAAATTACCCCACAAGTTAGCAGCTGAAAACATCACCTGTTCTTTATGTGAGAGTTTCTGTGCATGATGAATGTGGGTGTAGGGTAAGGTAAAAGGTATCAGGCTTTTCTGCCCTCCCGCCATTAGGATAAAGGAGGGAACCCTGTGGTCCTGAATGCATGCCTGATGGCAGGCACCTGAGGTGAGTACACCTGGGCTGAGAGACTGAGTTTATAAGGGTGGCATCACGGGGATGCCAGCAGAAGCCAAGAACGAACAGAAGCAGGAGCAGAGAAGCCAAGAAGAAGCAGAACCATGAGAGAAGCAGAAAGAAGAGAGAGAAGGCCGGAGAGCCCAGACAGAGTGAAGACTTGCTGGGAGCTGGGAGGCCTGCCAGCCTCCCGGCCCCCCAGCACCCTTACCTGCCATGTACCTGGTAAATCCCAATAAAAGCCTGCAAAAGCCACTAAGGGCTCCAGGACTCTGACTCCTCCCTTACCCTGTCTGTTGGGATCATAGAAAACGTGCCCTGTGTCATTCCTGCCCACTACAGTGGGATTCACTTACTTGGGTGGGTTCACGAGGCTGTCATAGCAGCCATTCCCAGTGGGTTGAGCTGGGCATAGGGTCCCAGAGTCCCTGCACCTGCCCTGGTTTCTGAACAGCCAGATTAGGGACATCCTGCCCTCTGCCTAGCCAAACCAGTTGTTTTCTGCCCCATTTCAAGGAAGCCCCATGAAAGAATCTTATGCCAGGACTGGAGCGGGGGAGCCTTTCACTCGTGGCAGTGTCCTCCGCTCCATCAGGAGCTCATTCTGCAGCCTGTGGTCAGGGGTCAGGTTACATAGGCCCTGAGCTTGGCTCCCTGCCTCATCTTCAAGAGCACCTCCACCTGGTGAACCCCAGGCTAATGTTACTACAATATTCCCTCTGGTGCTGGGAGTCAGTAGCTACCAGGAGAGACCCCACTGAGCCCTGACAAGAGGAGATGGGACACAAATCCATGGGCATGTCAGAGCTTGGGCTTGAAAGTCTCCCCATTGTCCTGTTCACCATCAGCTGGGTGAACCCAACTGGGTCAGACAAGGTACATGCTGTTCCATCCATGAGCCCATGCTGTAGGGTAAGGTAAAGTGTCAGGCTTTTCTGCCCTCCTGCCATTAGGATTGATGATGGATCTGCAGTCCTGAATGCATGCCTGACGGCGGGCACCTGGAGTGGGGTGCGGGCATGCATAGGTGGGTACACCTGGGCTGAGACTGGGCTTATAAAGGTGGCATCATGGGGATACCAACGGAGAGCAGAGAGAACAAGAGCGAAAGAGAAACCAGAAACAGCAGAAAGCAAAAGAGCCAGAGTGAAAGGAGCAGAGAAGCAAAAGCCACGAGAGAATGTCGGAGAGCCCAGAGAGAGAGGTGACCTGCTGGGGATGGGGGGCCTGCCAGCCTCCCAACACCCCCAGCACCCCTGCCTGCCGTGTACCTGGTGAAATCCCAAGAAAAGCCTGTAAAGCCACTGAGGGCTCCAGGACTCTCTCCTTCAGCCGCCAATTCCAAACATAGAAAAGCTGCTCCGTCCCCTCCTACTGCCCACGACCATCCTGTGCACCCTCAGCAGTGCCCCCACATCACAGAATTATCTGCCATCACCCAAGAAGCTATGAGACCCTCACCTGCTTGCGCGTGGTCCCATCGGGCCTCCAAAGAGCCATCCAGCACACAGGACACACCCCTGGGTCCAAGGGCCATTTTCAATTCTAAAACAAGATAAATCCCTGGATGCACTTGGGGAAGTGCCACCATCAAATGGCTTCTATGCGGTCTCCCAGAAAAGCCAAGTGAACACAGGGAACAGGAAAACACCTCAACCCCAAAGTGCCTCTCACAGATCGCTCCATGCCCATGCCTGGGGCAGACATTGCTAGCTGAGCCCACCTTCCCTGACCCAAGCTAGACCCACGCTGCCAGCCTTGCCTCTCTGCACTGGGCTTTAAGCAGATCACAATTCAGGATGAAACCTTCTAAGAACAAACTCTCTGAGGTTAACTGTTTCTGGCTTTTTCCCCAATCAGAGAATAGGCTGCTTCCATTAAAATGTTCCTGATCTTTGGGAACTTGGTTTTTTATTTGATCCCTTGCAGACCACGGACACAACCTCACCCTTACTTCCTGGCTCCCAGAAGCTTCCCATTTCTGGGCTTCTCCCCCATCTCCAACTGCTCCTATCTCCTTATTTGAGTGTTTCAAATATATACCTCTTCTTTCTCTCCACACTGTCCTCAAGCCCCATTTACTCAGTCATAAACAGGTCAACACTTCAATAGCTCAGCGCCTGCCTCCTCCTCATGCCTGTCCCCATTCTTTTATTGTTGTCCATGCTCAAGTTGATCCTTTGCCCCCAGAACCATGCCCTCAGCCTCCTCCCTTGTTTCCAATCTGGGCACTCTCACCCACTGCTCATACACCTTCCATGGCTCCCTACTGCCTGCCCAGCAAATTCCGATCTCCTTTACTTGTTCCAGACCATGCACACATGCCCCAGTGATCTCCAGCTTCTCTTGCTTCTGCTCTGATAACAAACAGGAAGGAAGGAGAAATGTTTCTGGAGCTGTTTCCCACCCCTGGAAGTCCTGAGAGGTCTACCCAAAGGTTAAGAACTCTTGGGTCCTCGATGCCAGCCCCAAGGGAAAAAAAAAAAAATGGAGTGGTTGTTAATGGTCTATTCCCATTTTTTAAATTCTGCCTTCTTCCTTTTATCCTGAGAACTCCTATAGACGCCTCAAGTCCTGTTCTAGTTCCTCCTCCTTCACGTAGCTTCTGTCACTGCCCCTCGTGACTTGCCTGCCCAAGACCCCCTCTGGACCAGTTCTGACTCTTGGTCAAAAGGCCAGTGTTCAGAGGATGCATGAGATGGGAACCCTGGTAGAGCTCAGTGTACACAGCCGGGGTCACCGGCTTCCTTAAATTATGGGAAGTGGGACCCACCTTGATTGATCCTCTGCAACAGGACCTCACGGACAAGGTCCTCACAGATGCCCTCAATCGTCAGGGCTGGGCTGCCCACAGCAAGGACATCCCCCTCAAACTCTGGCAGCTCCTGAAAAGAGGCAAGTTGGATCAGAAGGACTGTGAGGTGGGTTTGAGCCCCATTCCCAACTTTGATTATCTGATGAACCTGGGGACTCAGTTTCCCCATCTTTAAAATGGATTTGTTGGGTCTAGAAAGATGTCAGTGTTGAGGAGAATACTACATGGCTTCTAGGGCCTTGACAAAACCTCAGACATATGGCCCTGGCCAAGCACCTGTGATTTCGTATTGTTGGAACATTCACTGTATCTCTGGGGGTTGCAGTTTTCTGTAAGATTGCTGCAGCCAAACCACAAAAGAAGATATACACAGATTTCTCTAGAAATTCTGATTCCATGAAAGATTTTGAGGAGATGAGAAAGGCCAGCATCTTCCAAAGTACAAAGTGATTTTGGAATGTAAAGAATTTATTTGGGGGCCTCCCCGGTGGCACAGCGATTGAGCGTTGGGTTGCAAAGCTGCCCGCGGCCTCTGCGGCGCCGGTTCAATCCCCGGCTGCTCCCCGGCCACCGGAGAAGGGTCCCACATGGCGCGCAGACCTCTCCTGCCGCCCGCTGCTCCCCTCAGCAGTGTACTTCAGTCCTTCTGCCTGCTCTGCTCCCCGCTCTGGCTCTGGTGAATTCTCTCACCCTCCCGCACTTCTGACTGTACCCAGTGCATGTATAAACAAAACAAAGAAACAACTAAACAAATAAATAAATAAATAAAAACATGCCTCTAAAAAAAAAAGAATTTATTTGGGCTGACTTTCATGGAAATTTGTCACTGACCTGTGTTCCTGAACTATGAAACATGAATAGCTTCTCTTGATAATTCAAAAATTTTAATTATAGAGCCTCCCTGGTGGCACAAGGTGTTAAGATGCAGCCTATGAAGCTATCCGAAGCCACTGCAGTATGAGTTCGACCCCCAGCCAGGGAGCTACCCAAATGGCACAGCAGACCTCTCCTGTTTCACCCGCTGCTCCCCTCAGCAGTGTATTTCAGTCAGTCTGCCTGTTCTGTTCCCCACTCTGTCTCTGGTGAATCCTCTCACCCCCTGCATCTCTGGCTTGTACCCCAGCTCCTGTATGCATAAATAAATAAATCTTTAAAAAATAATAAATAAAAATTTTAATTATATTATAAATTAATCAATTTAAAAAATGGACTTCTTTACCTATATGGTGGGATTGATGAAACAATACACATCACAGGAATAGTGCCCGTATTTCCACTGGGCATCCTACCCATTGCTACTTCCTCTAAAGGATCTGGTTAACACCTAAGACAAACCCTTAGGCTCTGTGTGACCAGGCCCCTGTGACCTCCCCTCATCTCCTTCCCACCCCTTCACTCACCAAGCCCCAACCCTACTTGCCTCCTCACTGTTCATTCAATATACCAGCACAGTCCTAAGTCCTATCTCAGGGCCTTTGCCTGGACCACTCACCCCAGGCATGGCTCATGCCTTCCACTCACTGCTTCTCAAGTGTTATCTTCTCAGGGAGAGGCTTCCTGATCACCTTGCACCTCCCCCTACACACACTCATACACACACACACACACACACACACACACTATCTGCCTCCCCCTCTTCTAAGTCTGTGTCATTCATGATAAGAGATCCATGGACCCCCAGCCCAGCTCTCAAATGGCAACACTGAGCACTCTCATGGGAGATGCAGAGGGCCTAGTGTGAGCCCAGAAGAACCATCAACCCAGTTTCTAATTACCATCTTGCCTCTATGAGGGAGAGAATAAGACTGCCCACTGCATAGAAAGACACAGACACTGGGTGCTCTCTGGGACTTGTCTGCGGGTCCCCCATAAGCTCACCACTCTGCATCTTGGCTCCAGCTGGCTCAGCACAAAGGGCAAGAAGATGCAGAGCAGCCACCCATGGATGAACCTCCTCTGCGCTGCACAGCTGTCCGACTGGTACTTCTGCAGGACACAAGCAACGGCTGATCCAGCAACCGTCTAAACACACAGACCCACTGCCATGCCCTCCTCACAGTGCTCACCTTCAGCACACGCCCTCGGACTTTCTCCAGCTGCTGGGCAGCTTGGTGGCAGTCCAGGCTTGGGGTTAGACACTGGTCTGCCAACTGCAGGAAGGTAGCCACGGAGTCAGCCATGAGCTATGGGAAGAGGCACATGATGAGCCCCAGGATCCATGCCCTGGCCCTGTCAGCACGCAGCCTGTTCTGCTAGCCCCTCCCCCCATCCTCCTCCTTATCTTAAGAGAGAGCACCCCCTTCCTATCACGATTTGGGGACCATGCGATCAATGGAGACCTACATACAAAGCAGCAAATGTCCTTTCCCTTCTGTCAGGAAGCCCAGGCTGGGGAGTGGAGAGCTGGTAGAGCTCAGCCTCTTCAACCCAGCACTCACATGCCATGTACACATTGAACAACTGTGTCAGGCAACGCTGGGTCATCTCAGTTCATGTCTCCTTCACTCATCATGTTAATGAGCAGGTCCCATTCCCTTGATCTTCAAAACACACCCCACTTCTCTTCGTTGAACAAAACTGGCTCAGGCCTCTCTACCTCCTCCATTTCTGCCCCCAAGGCAGAAAGGGCTTCCTAATCCTTGAATCTGCTTACATACCTGACATGACTCCCCACTGTCCTAGGACAGGACCCAGCCCCTTAGTCCCCGAGGTCCTAACTCTTCTACCCACCCATAACTGGCACAGCTTCCACTTTCCTGCTCTTCCTTGAAATCTACAACCCAGTGTCTCTAAATTGCTTTATTTTCTCCAAATGCTGGCATGCTCTCTCACCTCCCCCTACCCAAAACATGCCCCACCCCACCCCCATTCCTCCCACTGCTGCCCCAGTTTGAAAGCCCTCTCCTCTGGAAGTCCTCCCAATCCTGGAGATGGGCAAGTAACTCCTTGGGGCACACTGTGCATCCCCATACATGGCACTAGGAGCCCAGCAAGGGAGGGTCAAGTCTTCCTGTGCCCCCAGCATACATGAGGCACCTGCTCAGTGGAGGCTGCTGAGCTCTCCTGGCCTCCTGCCAGCCTTCCACTCACCCTCACCTGCTGTAGTAGATCCTGGACACCAAACACCAGGCTTTGCATCCCCAAGAAGCCAAATGGCACCATCAGTTGCTCCAGGCACCCTGCGTTTTGCTCAGCCTCCAGATAGCAGGTCTGCATCAGCTCCGGGTCCCATGGCATCTCCCCAAATGAATAAACCTGTACTCCAGTGGCAGTTAGAAGAGAAAAACACCATCAGTTGTTGGGAAAGCAGGGCCAGAGCCTTCTAAGCCTATTCAGTGAAAGAGAAACACCAATGGGAACACATCCCACCTCAGTTGTCACAAAAAAATTCACAATAAAATAGTATGCCATTGTAGGCATAAAATGGTAAAACCTGGAAAAAGCAAAAAAAGGCAGAGCTGGAATGACCAGAGGAAATGGGCATTCCTGGCCCTTGTCACTCCTACGCCCACCAGCTGATGACCTCTCTGTGCTGTCCTGGGCTGCAGAAATGGGTGATCCTATTCATATTGTACCTTCAAAGGGCTCAGAAAAAAGTTGGGGAAGACAGGCTACAGATAAACAACCACAGTGTTGTGTAAACACTGCTGTGAGGTCAGAGGCACAGACAGCTGCAGATTCAAGGAGAGACCAGGGAACATTACTGGAGGAGGTGATTATCACATGAGGCTTAAGGAGTTGAAAGTTTCCTGGCAGGTTGTAGGAGGTCACTACTTCATGAGCCAACCTGCATGAAGTAAAATTGCCTGGTTCAGAGGACAGGGTAGGCTATGGTCAAACAGAGGAATGCAAGGGGCGGAGTTTGGGGGGAAAGTGACTCCAGACTGATGTTGCTGAAATCTTATCATCCTAATCCTCTCCCCCGCCCCCCACGTTTTAAACATTGCCTTAGTGACCAAGGCATGGTTATCCACACTAAGTAAAAAGCAATCTAGAAAGTTTTTCCAAAAGAAATATGCAAGGTTCACACACCTTTTCTGTAAAGTTGTTAGGGGGAAAAGGATGTCCCAAAGCTAATTCCATACAGTTTTTGTGGACTCCACCCCCCACCCCAGGTCAAAGCCAAAGACACTGGGAACTCCAAATCCCATCACCACCAAAGGGAAGGTGGCTGGGACCTGAGGGTGGGGTTAAGCAGCCAGGTGGATATAAAAGGCAGACACGTGGGCTTTGGGGGTCCCCATTTTTTGGGTCTCCGCCAGCTCGCAGCGTCCGGCCAGCTCTGAGAGTGACTTTGGGTTTCCAGGTCGTCGGATCGGGTAGGACGCATTAAAGACTTTATTTCCCTATTTTCTCCCTGAGTTGTACATTTTCCTTATTTCCTTTTCTCTTGTAAATAAACCTTTTATTAACCTTTTGTGTGTGTCTGTAGTAGAGTATTCATAAGTCCCTTTAAAGCGCGCGGGTGAGGATCCACAGCCAGGAACCCGTTTAATATCGGGGTTGCTCTATGACAAAGTGAGCACGCCACCCATCAGCCCGATGATCCGTCCCCTGCCCGCTGGAGCTCACCTCCTTGCGCAGGCGAGCGCCCGAGGGGCTCCTACGCAGGTAGCGAGACAGGCGGTCCATGCCCTGCACCAGGAGGGTCTGCGTAGCCGCGAGTGAGGCTTCCACGGTGCTCAGCAGCTTCCGCGTGACCCGGGGCAGCTGCGCGTCCACCTTCCTGCGCAGACAGGACTCGAGAGGGCCCTGGACCTCGTCTGGGAGTGGAAGACACTGCCTGGATCTCCTCCCGGTCGTGCTCGCAAGGGAGGGGGCACGGGGGAGGAATGACCCTGGGCTCATCAGGGTGAAGTGAACGGAAGTGCAGACTCTGAGCACCCTCTTCTCCCATTTTACCAATTCACTAGAAATCTGAGGTCCGTGGTGAGGAGGGCGTGGGCCCAAAGGCGCACGTGGCGGAGGCGGAGTCAGGATTTGACGCCGAGGCTCTCTAGTGAGTGCAGAGCCACTGCCGTGTGACCCAGAGCACCGAGTCTGGCCAGTCGCCGCTGATACTCGCACCCTCCGCTCACCGGGCCTCAGGCCCCCTCCTTTGCCCAGAGGCTACACGTTACCCTGGTCTGGCCCCGCCCCTGACCCCGCCCCGACCCCGCCCTGGCCTCGCTCCCGCGAGCCTCAGCCGCAAGCCACGCCCACTCCCTCATTTAGGGCCCACCCACCATGCCCCGCCCTTTCTTTCCCCGGCTCCGCCTCCCCTGAGATTTCCCGTCCTCGACTCCCGGCCCCGCCCTTTCCGTCTCTTTCCTTCCGTCTCTCAGGCTGCGGGCCCCCGCCCCGCCTGTCCCGGCCCCCACCAGGCTGCGCTCCAGCGGGCCTCACCCCGCAGCCTCCCAGCCACAAGCGCCCGCAGCTGCAGGATCTGGTCCACATCCGGGCGGAGAGTCCTCTCCAGGGCCGCGAGCAGCTCGTCCTTTTCCGGCTGGAAGGCGCGGAGCCCCGCGGAGGCCCTGGCCAAGACGGCGGCGTGGACGGCGTCCAGGAGCTGCTCGGACCGGCCAAGGGGACGCACAGGGGCCAGGGAGCGGGAGACACTCAAGATGGGGTGCGGGTAGGGGAGAGACAAAGGCGCAAAGAGACGGCGGGAGGGTGTGGGTGACAGTCACAGGGAGGAGATCTCCATCCAGCCCAGAACCTCCCCCTCGCCTGTTCCTGATTCCCTCTGCGACCCAGCACATATACCTCCGTCCAGGCCCAGGCCCGGGGGCGGCCGGCTCCCCGCAAGCCAGGCAGGGTCTGGGCTCTCAGTGCGGGCATCAGCTCCCTCATCAGCACCGCGGTCAGCACCTACGGGAGCGGGAATTGTGTGCGCGGTGGCCCTGGCAGCCAAGATGGGCCTTAGGGGTCGGGGTATGACCTAGAGAGGCACTGACCTCAGCGTCGGAGCCCAGGGTCACGTCGTCGTCCCCAAAGTGGCCTTGGTGCTGCCGGTAGAGCCGTACAGTGTCCAGAAAGGCCCGTGCAGCGGGGGCCTGGCTTCGCTGCAAGACTGAAGAGCAGCTCCTCAGTCCCTGCCCACCACTCCCCTATTTACAAATATGCCCGGCTCCCCAACACCTGAGGAAGAAGTCCTCCACCTTCTTGCTAGGTACCCAAACACCCGTCTCTCCCACCTTTGTAAAAGCGATGACTTCCTCCAGGAAAACGCACCAAGACCATCACTAGTCCATAACATTTGGGCAGTCAACAATCTGCCCAACCGTATGTGTCGGTCCTGTGTCCCTTCCTCTGTTTCAGACTTCAGTTTCCATATCCTGTTCCCTGTTCTTCCAGGCTAAGCTCTCACAGGACCCTGTGTGTGCCCATCATAGCCCTGGCCACACATAACTGCTTGTTGTCTCCTCTCCAAATCCATGCTATAGACAAGGAAAGAGGTTCCCAGAGGGTTCACAGCCAGCAGGGACTGAGACATTTGACCCCAGACCCCAAGACTCACCACTCCTAACCTTTCATGGAACCCACCTGTTCCACGAAGCCGGATGCCCCCCTGTAGGGCTAGCCTCCAGGCATGCTGTGCCTCCTCTGTGGCTGCAGAAAAACAGAGGTGCTGGCGGAAGGGATGCTGCAGGAACAGGGGAAAGCTTATAGGCATTTCCAGAAGAAGGCCAGGGTCTTCCTGTGTGTGGTCTCCTGAAAGCAGAGAGGGGAAGCTGCTTTTTCACTCATTCATTCACTCTACAATCAACCATTCAGTCACCAGGAAAAAATCCCCACGAAATGCTTAGAGGAGACCTGGTGGTTGCTCAACAAGCATGAGTCACACAGTTATAGCCACACATTGTTCAATCCAGCTCAACCCGGGGTGTGGTGGGGTGGGCCAAGGGGGGGGTGTCTAGGGAAGACACCAGCAATTGATTCCAGAGTCCTTTCCCAGCTTCTTCATCCTAAACACAGTGCCTTTGGCAGTCACTGCCAATTTGTCTAAATTGACATATAATCCAATCCATGAGGACACTGGACTCAGATTTTAACTCATTTTCTAGTTCCATACCTAGGACACAGTTTTCCATCTTTGAACCTGGGTTTTCCTACCTGTAAATTAGGCTTAAAAGTGATACTAACCATCTAGACCCTTAAGAGTGACTTTATTTTTGGAGGATTTATTTGAGGTCACCTAAATGCTCAATGTTTTGTTCTGACTTATAAAGTGACACATACAGATTGCAGTAAAATGTAATAATTCAGCAGATGAAGTTCCTGTCACCCCAGATGCAGCCCCTAGAGACAATGATAACAGTTAACAGTTCAAAGGACATTACTCAGATATTAAAGTTTGTGCAAAGCCTTGTGGGATGTAATTGCTGATTTTGCTTCTTCCATGCATCTGGGACACCTTTGGGACTGCAGTTTTCCTTTCTAAGGGCCAGCCACAATTTATTTAATCACCCCCAAAGGATACATCCGGATGGATTCTGATGTTGCTAAAAGCATCACTATTTCTGCAGGCTGTCCTTGTGGCTATACTAGGGAGCAGGAGGGTTCCACCAAGGAGAAGGTACAGCAGACTGCGTACCTCCCTCACAGTGACAATCCCCAGCATCAGTGTCCTCACCCGTAAAATACAAAATACGAGGCCATCTGCTGGGCATATTCAGTAAAATAATGCAGGACCCACGCTGAGAGCCAGTAACACTGCTCCTTACCTTATATTTATGCAGGGATGGAGGGAGAAAGGGGAGGGGTAGAGAGAAGGGCAGGGGGAAGAGGAGGAGCGTAGAAGGAAAGGAAAGGAGGAAGAATGAAGGGAGGGAGGATAGCAAGAGGAGGAAGAGAAGAGGGAGGAGGAAAAGAGGGAGCAGAGGGAAAAAGGGGGGAGGGAGGAGGAGGAGGAATGGGAGGAGGAGGAGGACTCTGGGGCAAATGATTCACCCTGCATCTAGTCTGTGCGATTTTCTACAAGCCCCTGCCATCTCCCCACAGGCTCACTGACACCAAGTTTTATTGTTTTTATCCTTTGCTACTTTGATCCCAGTGACCTAACTCTCCTGGTCATTCTAGAAAGCTCAATTTTTCTCTTTCTAGAGCCAGCAGGCTCCCCCAGAGGCAACACTGACTGCCCCACCCCACCCCTGCCCCTGTGCCCTTCCCCACATGTACGCACACTGGGCATAGTCTGGAGATGTTTTTAGGTATCACAGCTGGGAGGAGGAGCCTTAAGCATGGAGTGAGTGAGCCCAGGGAGGCTGCTCCACACGTTACAGCACCCAGGACAGCCCCGCCACAGCAAAGTATGATCCAGCCCCCATGAAACAGTGCTGAGATAGATAAACTTGCTCTTGGAGTCCCCAGGAACCTTACCTGAGGGCTTTGGGCAGAGAGCATCTAAAAGAGAGACATATTCACACTGGGAAGTCAGGATTGTGTACCCCGTCAGGGTCATGGAACCCAGAGGATGGCCCCCATTCTCATATTCCTAGGAAAGGCATCCAAAGAAAAGTTTGGGGCAGGTCTAAACTGTGGCCCCATGTCCCAAGTGTGGAATCAGGTTAGCTGGAAAGTCCTTCCTCTCTCCCTCCACACCTCTCTCTCTTCCTCCCCCCTCAGTCCACAACCCAGCATCTCTACTGCTAGGCCACTCCCAAGCACTGTGTGAGGATCTTTTCATTGACTCCTCACAGCCCCATGCAGGGTGAGCCACATCACCCCATTTCACAGAGGCAGGGCCTGAGTCCCTGGAAGGTAAGAGACCTATCTGCCAGAGCCCCCCCAGCCAGGAAGTAGGGCAGAAGCATAAAGCACAAATGCCTTGCCTGGCTTCTACCTCGTCTGTGCTGATGACCACAAACAACTCTACCACTGCCCGGGTTTCACTTCACCGCGGGCATATCAGGAGATGATCACCCACCCAGGCCAAGCACTTAGGGGTCCTCCATTCATGCTAATGATTGGAGAAAAGAGGGGGGCTTTGCTGGGATCTGTAGGGTGGGAGGGAGAAGCTGAAGGTTAATGGGACTTGGGTCACTCCCTTACTTACCTCCCTGTGACTGAACCACTCCAGCCGGCCGTCCCCACGCAGAACACAGAAGATCGGCTGCCACCGAGGGGGGTGGCCCCGCAGTTGGATCAGGGGCCCTCGGTGCTCTCGCACTCGGGGCAGTTTCTGTGGGAGAAGGAATGGATGTCCTATGCATGAACCTATGTCCCGAATCCGAACACTGGACAGCTCCCATGCTGCTAGAGTGGCGCTGATTCTTACAGAGCATGCGCTGAAATCCTCCCCACAGCCCGGCAGGTAGACACTCTAAGTGTCCTCCCCCACTTAGAAGCAGAATCTTCTCCACTCGAGCCTTGATGAGAGGCCAGTCTTTTTTTTTTTTAAAATAGATTTATTTTATTTATGCGTGCAAGAACTGGGGTACAGACCAGAGGTGCGGGGGGCGGGTAAGAGCGTTCCCCAGAGACAGAGTGGGGAACGGAACAGGCAGACTGACTGAATTACACTGCTAAGGGGAGCAGCAGGTGAGACAGGAGAGGTCTGCTGCACCATGTGGGTATCTCCCTAGCCGGCAGGTGATCGAATTCATGATGCAGAGGCTGCGAATAGCTTCACAGAGTTGTGCTTAACCCCTTGTGCCACCAGGGACTCCACAAGAGACTCCAATCTTTTTTTTTTTTTAAGATTTATTTTTTTATTTATTTATACAAGCACTGGGTACAGTCAGAAGCGCGGGAGGGTGAGAGAATTCACCAGAGCCAGAGCGGGGAGCAGAGCAGGCAGAAGGACCGAAGTACACTGCTGAGGGGAGCAGCGGGCGGCAGGAGAGGTCTGCGCGCCATGTGGGACCCTCCTCCGGTGGCCGGGGAGCAGCCGGGGATCGAACCGGCACCGCAGAGGCTGCGGGCAGCTTCGCAACCCAACGCTCAACAGCTGCGCCACCGGGGAGGCCCAAGAGACTCCAATCTTGATTGCAACCTGAAAGGGACTGAAAGACGCATTCCAGGGGGCCACCCTGGGGGTGAAGGGGTTAAGCCTCAGTGCTATCAATCTATCACTAGTCACTGCTGCATGAGTTCTATACTGGCTGCAGCCACTGCTATAAGAGTTCAATCCCCGGCCAGGGAGCTACCCACATGGCACAATAGACCTCTCATCTAGCCCGCTGATCCCCTCAGCAGTGTATTTCAGCATATCTACCTGTTCTGCTCCCCACTCTGTCTCTGGTGAATCCTCTCACCCCTCGCACATCTGCCCTACACCCCAGTTCTTGTACGTATAAATACAAAAAAGAAAAAAGAAGCATTCCCACCCCACAGCAGCCATGAGATAATAAACATGTAATGCTTTAGCCATACATACTGAGGTATATTGCCATGCAGCATCAGCTGACTAACACAACTGGAGGGCCTGGGTCAGGTAAGCAGGTGAGGGTTAATTCATGAGAAATGGCCAGGCTATAGCAGGGTGGGACACCACCTCATTTCACTTTCTCCATCTCTCTTTCACTTTCACTATGTGGCACTTGAGTTGCGTGGGCTGTTTCATCACTGGACCTAGGAGCTGTACCTAAGGCACACTTGGCCCCGGTAAATATTTGATGAATAAATTAACTGCATTGATGAAGTTTTGGTTCTTTGGTGGGGTTGTAGGAACTTTGGTGTTTCTTGAATATTCTGCATGCTTTTCCTGAGGTATGAGATGTTTCATAATAATATCATTAAAATGTTATTATATAAATTATATATAGCTGGTCCTTGACTTGCAATGGTTTCACTTTGATTTTTTTTACTTTATGGTGGCATAGAAATGATATGCATTCAATAGGAACTGCACCTCGAATTCTGATTTTTCAGGGCCAGTGGTGTGTGCTACCATCTTCTCTGCGGTGCTGGGCAGCACAGCTATCACCAGGGGAAACAACCACACTGTACAGTGTGCAGGAGTCAGTCAATTCTATGAGATAGTTCACACTTTAGTATAAAGTAGGCTTTGTTTAGGTAATTTTTGCCCAACTGGAAGTAACGCCAGTGTTCCAAGCGCTTTTAAGGTTGTCTGGGCTGAGCTATGATGTCTGGCAGGTGAGGTGTAGTAAATACATTTTGTGCTTGGGTTATTTTTAACCTACCATGGTTTCATTGGGTTTCACCCCCTTCATGAGTTAAGAAAGAGCTGTATAATGCGAGCATAGAAAACAAATATAACATGAAATGTTCAAGCTAAAGTAAGGGGAAATCCCTCCTCACTGCTGGAACCCCTGTGAAGCTGTGTCCTGGCCCAGGTGACCTGAACCTGCAGATGGTGAAAGATGCAACTGGGGGTATCACCCAGAACTCAAGAAGTCCTGTATGGGAAAGGGAAAATCCCAGATGGCAGGGGCTCCTCACCAGGGATTCCCCACCCCAGGGCAGGCACCAGGGGGAAAAGAGAGGTAGGACATTCCTGTGCCCTGATTTGGGCAAGGGACCCGGCCTCAGTCAGGAATGTGGACTTGGGTCAGATCGTGCCTCTGCCTCATGCTGGTGGATGAACTCAGGCGTATTTCCTCGCCGCTCTGTGCCTCAATTACCCCTCTGGTCAGAGAGCTATCTCCTGGGCTGGTGAGGACTACGTTGTGCAAGGCACATGGAGGCCTTGGAAGCTGCTTGCCAGCTCAGGGGACATTCGGATCAAGGTTTGGGCCATTCCAGGCTCTTTTGTTTCACTGCAAACACTTCTTGAGTGGACAATCTCTTCCTGAGTCCCTACCATATGCCAACACCACATGGACACAAGAGGGTACAGAAAGGGGAGCTAAGAGCTGATGCCTGATTTTAAAGGGCAGGTAAATAGGGGAGACAGACATGTGACCCAGGGCTCCCCTGGAGAAGCAGCAGGATTGGGATCCCAGGGGAGGTGCCCCACTCAGATCAAGGGTGAAATGGTAATCAAGGCAGGCTTCTTGGAAAGAGTGGCAGTCAAAGCACAAGGAGGAATGGGGAGAGGGCATCATGCACATAAATGTCTGGGGGCTCAGTGGGCTGTGACATTGGTTCTGCTCTCAGGCAAAGCATTTTCAGCTTCAGGGCTTTTGCCACAGCTGTACCCTCTGTCTAGAGCACCCTTCCCTTCCTGGGCTGTAGATCCATCTCCTTCTCATCTCTTAGGTCTCAGCTCAGAGAAGCCCTCCCTGCATGCACCCTGACTCCCGCATCCAGCAACCCTGCATCCTGGAGGACAGAGCAGGATCTGTCTCAGTCACTGCTGTGTCTCCACCATGCAGCCCTGGGAGTAGCACCGGTAGCTGCCCAGTGAGTGTTTAGCTGAATTTTCAATAGTCACCCCAGGTCTTGGTACCAGAAACTCCATGGTATGAGGAGGGCCCTGCCCAACAAATACCCCTTGCTCAGCTCCACTTACCCACCTTTACAGCACCCACCTTACTTCGCAGCAGCTGACATTGAACCGGCTCCTGGGGGCCCAGCTCCTGGGTGATCTGCCGCAGAAGGGATACTGCCAGCTGTCCACGGTAACAGGGCAGGAAGTTTCTCAGCAGGGCATCCATCTGGCCTGCAGATCAAGGGGACCATGAGTCGGACCCAAAGACCAGCCTAAGGAGAACAGAACAGGCAAGAATCCACTGGTGGGGGCCTCCCTGGTGGGGCAAGGGATTAAGCATCAGCACTATGAAGCTATCCGCAACAACTGCAGCTACAGTTTGATCCCTGGCCAGGGAGCTACCCACATGACGCAGCAGACCTCTCCTGACTAACCTGCTGCTGCCCTCAGCAGTGTATTTCAGTCAGTCCGCCTGTTCTGTTCCCCACTCTGTCTCTGGTGAATCCTCTCACCACCAACCCCCACCCCACCCCACTCCCACCGCGCCTCCGGCCTACATCCCAGGTCTTGTATGCATAAATAAATAAATCTTGAAAAGGAAGAAAGAAAGAAAAGTAAAGAAAGGTCTTCCTGGTGACAGCCATGACTTTAAAAAAAGAATTCAGTGGTGGGCTCCTGTACACCTCCTCCCCTAGTTGCCTCCAAGTCCCATTCACCCTTAACCCTCCATGCCTGTTTCCATCCACAGTGGGTGGGTGACTCAAGCATAATCTATAACTGAAGCACAATAAACATAATTGTGTAATCACAGAATTTAATGAGTTTTGACAGATGTACACACCTGTGAAGTTATCACCTTGATCAAGATAATGAGCAGATACATTGCACCCAAGAGTTTCCTCATGTCTCTTACCTGGGAGATTTTCAAAATCTCTTAAAAAGCCCCACCCCAGCACAAGGGAACTTTCTGGGATGATGGAAGTGTTTTGTATCCTGATCCAGAAGTGATCACACAGGTGTTAATGTTCTTCAAGCTGTTCCCTGTATGTTCATCCTACTGCCTGAAATTCGCATCTGATGGTTGGAGCATCAGCAGCTGTTATGTGCAATGAGGTGGCCTCAGGCACAGAAGACTACACATGATAGAACCAGGAGATGAGAGGAGCTGGGGTGTACAACTTTTGTCAACCTGTCTGGCACCTGTAACTCTCTCTAGGAAAGAGAAATAAATCCTTATCTTCTTTAAACTTGTTTAGTAAATAATCCTGAATCTCCCTGGAGAAATTTACTGAATTTATTGTGTGATAATAACTTGACCTTCTTTTCTGGTCTAGATTGCAAACCCATAAGGATGGGGCCATTCCCAACCCTACTATATCTTCAGTTCCCGCACAGTAGGAGCTCAAACATGTGTATGGAAGTTAGAGGCACCGCTTCCTCACTGTCTCAAAACAAACACTGAGTCTCATTTCCCAGGGTCCACACAGAGGTGTCTGCCCATTCCTGCACACCTGGAAGGATTACCTTAGGATATCTGGATGGGCCCAGGGCACCTCCCACTAGGCACCATGTTCCCCTCCCTGAACCCACACCCTGAGTAGGGTTAAAAGATTTACTGAATTAAAATATAGGACACCAGTTAAATTTGAATTTCAGGTAAATAAGGAAAATATTTTTGTACAAGTAGGTCTTTGTGCAAGATCTGGGACATACTTATATTTAAATTATTCATCATTTATCTGGAATTTGCATTAATAGGGTATCCTGTGTATCGACCAACCCCCAGCCCTGAACCCCACCTGCCCCATGCCTGCTCACCCCTCAGGTACTGTTGCTGCCGCTTGTCCAGGGGGCTAGAAGGCCGCCCGCCCATCCTGCTGTCGTCTCCTTGGTTCCCCTGAGAGTGAGGCACACACGCTTCCCTTCCTCACAGCACCCGAGGTCCCTTAGTTCTGGGGAACACTAAGAGCAGGGCAGCCAGCAAGGTGCCTGGATGATGAGGAGAACAGTGCCTGTGATCAGGGGGCAGAGAAGGACTAGGCTGTGTGGTGGGGGATGCCCCGCCCTGCACCTGCATCCTCCTGGTTCCCCTGGGGCCAAGCCCTCAGAGCTGTTGATTTCTGAGGTAGCCCTGGAGGCAGGGTGGGGTTGTGGGAGACAAAACTTCTAGCTGGCCTTGGGGGAGGAATGCAGGGCAGATTATCTATCAAAACCTGCAAAAGTGGCTAGTGTGAGGGGCAAGGAAGGTGTGGGTAGGGATGGATGTCTAATTCCTAGTGTCCACCCCCACTGTATCCACCACATGGTTGGCAATACCGGGTCTCAAGAGGATCCTGCCAAGGCCCCCGACCACCCTGTCTGGGAAACCACTGGACAGACAATTCAAGTCACTAGGGTCAGTGCTGGGGCAGGGGAGGAGGCAGCAGAGAGAGACATCACTGTGCCCTGAATTAGGGTTAATTGAGTCTTCTCCCCTTCACCTGTTTTTCCAGTGCCTGGCACAGAATAGCCCTCAGTGTTTGAGGGAGGGAGAAAGGAAAAGAGAAGGGTCTGCAATCCAAGCTGAAATGTGACCAAATGAGAGTTTCTCGAGCTTTCAGATGAGGGGAGTGTCAAGTTCCAGTGACTGGATCTTGGATGTGATGGCTGGTGTATAAGCAATCACTTTGGACCATGAGGTGAAACTCTCATAACAATGACACAGCTATGACATTTGGGAGACTGGGGTCTCCAAAGAGTTAATCCACCAGCCCTATGTGCTTGCTTCCACAGAAGGAGTTAAACTTACATTTTAAGTCACCAGGAACATCTGACTTTAGCGTCAGCAATATCCCACAGGATTCATATCTTCTCTAAGAAACATCACTTCATGCCAGCCTGAGTATCATCCCTGAATTAAGCACTGTGATACAGAAGTGGGCAAAATAAGCTACAATCCACCCTCCATGGACTACGGGGTTAGCATGCCCACAAAACTCAGAAAACAAGAGTAAGGGGAAAATGGAATATGAAGGGGTAGAAAATGCTCTGAGTGGGGAGGAGTGAAGGAGGTGATGTTGTACCAAGACCTGAAGGACGTAAGGGCCCAAGTCATGTACAAGGCTGAGGCAAAGAGACCCCTACGCAGCGGGCACAGCACATGCAAAGGCCCTGACATGGAAATGAACTTGGAGGGTTCCACTAACAGCACAAAGTGGGTGGGCTGGTGGAGGGTGAGTGAGGTGAAGATGTTAGGAAAGGAAGGGGGTCCTCAGGAGCCACACGGTGTTTGTGAGTCAAGTAAGATGTTTCACTTTTTTTAAAAGATGTATTTATTTATACATACAAGAGCTGGAGTACAGGCCAGAGGTGTGGGGGGTGAGAGGACTCACCAGAGATAGTGGGGAGCAGAACAGGCAGATCTACTGAAATACACTGCTGAGGGGAACAGCGGGAGAGGCAGAAGAGGTCTGCTGCGCCATGTGGATGGCTCCTGGATAGCCCTGTCTGTAACCCCTGCACCACCAGGGAGGCCTGAGATGTTTCACTCTTGACAGGGAAGGGGAGCCATAAGCAGGTTTGAAGCAGGGATAGATGTCATGGGGAGAGAAGTACATGTAGGGTCCCCATGCCTGTATCCTCACTTCCCCTTTGCTTCTCAAGCCCTGCCCTAAGCTCCACCTGCAGCTCCTAGCTCCCAGCCATCTGCTATTGCCCACTGGGGCTTTTTTCAGTATTTCCAGTCACTTTCTCACTGTCACATGAGGTGTGACTGAGCCAGACAAGACGTTTAAAAATTCACTTTCTGTGGTTTCAACTTTAGGGTTTCAATTCCCATGCCCCTTTCAGGGGCCTCTGTGGGATGACCCCCGCCCCCAGTCCCACACTAGACAAAGCTGTTGCATGGGTGAGGCCCCTGTATGCCTACCATCCTGCCCCAATGCCATCCGTGGAGTCCAGCAAGCTGCACTAGGCCTTAACTTTGAGGTGAGCTTGGAAATTGCAGTAGCTCTGCACTTGGCACATCAAGGCTATGAGCAGGCTGCAGCCCCACGCAGAGGGCACCACCAACCCTGTATGCAGCACAACCCAATAGACTGGCAAAAAAACCAAACCAAAACAAAACAAAAAACAGAATAAAATGTTGACGAGGATGTGTTAAATTGGGACCCGATACAGTAATAGGGAAATGGGATGGAGGTTCCTCAAACAAATTTACAAATGGAATTACCATATGACCCAGCAATTTCACCTCTGGGTATATACCCAGAATAACTGAAAAGCAGGCTCAAGGAGATGTGAGTACCTATCTACAAGGGCATGTTATTCAGCTTTAAAGAGGAAAGGAATCCTAAACCACGCTACAATATGAACAAAAAGACAAATACTGTGACTTCACCTGTATGTGGCCCCTAGAATCACCAAATCATAGAAGGTAGTTGGTGGATACCAGGGACTGGGCAAGAGTGAGCACTGAATGGACACATAGTTTCAGTTATGGGGTCAGATGTGGTGAGGTTTGCACAAGGTGAACTGTGTCCCTACAAGAGTTAAGCCTACAGCTATTGAGAAAAAAGAGAAAAACTGTTGTGTACATTAATGCCATTCAACTGTACACTTAAAATAGTCAAAATGGCAAATTTTATGTTGCATTTTTACACATAAAAGATAATGTCCACATCCCAAACCCTAGAGCCTCAGAAAGCAACCTTATTTGGAATAAGCATTTTTGCAGATGTAGTTAGTTAAGAATCTTGAGATGAGGTCATCCCGTATTTAGTGCTTCTAGATCCAAAGAGGACACCAAGACACACACACACACACACACACACACACACACACACACACAGAGAGAGACAGAGAGACAGAGACAGAGAGAGAGAGAGGCAGAAATGGAGGTAATGCAGGGAGGAGGGGGAAGAAATGGAGGTAATACAGCAACAAGCCAGGAACCCAAGGACTGCCAGCACCACCAAAAACCCAGATATCCAGCCCCGGAAGAAAGGTCTGGGACAGGTGCCTCCTCGAAGCCTCTAGAAGGATCCACCCCTGCCCACACCTTGATCTTAGACTCTGGCCTCTGGAAGTATAAGAAAACAAATTTTTAGTTTTAGGCTCCACAGTTGGCAGGACTTTGCTGTGGCAGCCCCAGGAATGTCATCCTAGGAGTCCCCGCCCCCTAGCCCACCCCCCGCCAAGGTGGAGGACCAGTGAGAGTGCGGTGGGGTCAGCCATTAAGCCCAGGTACTGCCCACCAAGGACCAGGAGACAGTGGCGACTTCAAGCAAATGCTCTTTTTAATATCTGGGTTGTCTGGAGTGAGGGCCCTGGGCTGAGCCCCCCAGGCAGGGCTGGTGGCAGGACACTGTTGGCTTCCAGCAGCACCACTCGGCTTTTCGAAAAAGAAGCCCAAGCGTGGTGGCGGTGGGGCCCAGCCCCAGCAGGTCTTGGCCCCGCTGGGCAGTGCTTGGTCCCAGCAGTGGTGGTGTCCCTCAGGAACAGCTACAAAGTGGAATGCTTCTCAAAGGGCACAGTCAGGAGTCTGGCTGCAGCCTCGTCCAGGAACCAGCAAAGCTTCCCGGTGTGGGGTTGAACCAGGGCGGCGGGGAGCGGGTTCTCCTCCTTGTCCTCCAAAATGCGCTGCATGGAGAGGTCAGGAGTATGAGGCCCCCATACCCATGAGGTCTCAGGGCCCCCCAGGGACAAGACTCCTCAGCCATCAAGAGGTGAGATTACTTTTTCAGTTGCCCTACCTTCAAGCTATCAGGGACAAGTTCCCTTCCCTTCTGTCATCTGTGACTAATGCTGGGGTCGGCAAACCTTTACTGCAAAGATCAGAGAGTCCATATATAGCTGCCTCTTGAACAACAGCAGGAGCTTCAACCCCCTGTGGTCAAAAACCCATGTGGAATTGTTAACTCCTCCCAAACGTAGATATTGCTAGCCTGCTGTTAACCAGAAGCCTTACTGAGAGCACACAATTAAAAAATTCTGTAGATTATATATGTAATATAGACTGTATTCTTACCATACAGATAGAGAAAAGAAAATGGCATTATGAAAATCCTATTTACAGTGTTGCAGTATGTCAACGCCACAAGTTCAGCTGTTTACAAGAAAATATGTGTGTAAATAGAGGTGCGTGTTGCTCAAGGGTCAGCTGTCTCTTTCTGGCCAGGTCACACCCTGCCCGGCGGGCGACTACTCAGCTCTGCCGTCATAGCACAAAAGTAGTAGCAGATGACACTTAATAGGCACAATTGAGTTCCAACAAAACTTTATTCATGGACATGGAAATCTGAATTCTGTAAGATTTCTACATGTCAAGGAGTATTTTATTTTGGTATTTTTTTTTCAATAGGTAAAAATCCCTTTCTTAGCTGAAGGATTTGGCCCTACAACGTGTAGCACGCTGAGTCCCCTGATGTAGCCTCCTCATTGGTGTGTCAGAAACACTGCTTTCTCCATCAGGCCCGGCCAAGCCTTCTGGGTCTGTTAGCTCATTTACTGCTAAGATCCTGTGAGATCAGCCCTTCAGCAGGGGAGCTGAGGCTTCAGGTAGCCTCACAGAAGCACACGCTGAGCTGGGGACTCTGGGGGGCCCATGGGGAAGGACCCTTCCACTTTGCTGATGGGAAAGGGGAGGGGTGGGGGCTAAATGGCTGTATAAAGTCAGGCGGGCATCACAGGGAGGGACACTGTGTCTGTTGGACTCCCAAACCCCAGCATCAGTCACCCATGGGAGGGCATCTGGACCCAAAGATTTGGGGGAAAGAAATATCATTTAATCAATTTTAAAAAATGTTTCCAGTGTCTTTCATAGTCTTTTCAATGATAGAAAAAATATATATATTTTATTAGTTTATTTTTAAGATTTTTATTTTATATTTTTTCTTAAATATTATACACAAGATACCTTTTTTCTTATTCTTATTACACACGATTTTCCCACACTACCCTCCCCCCATTAGTTTTGCCAAGGGTCTATCTTTTGCATCTACTTACCACTGGGCTTTTAAAAATATTAAGCAATTCATTAAATTCTGATTTTAATTTTGCTTATTCCTTCCACCCATTTTTCTTAGAGTTATATTTATCTTGTTTCTAGATTACAGAGATTATTTCAAAAACTTTTTTAACACATTAAGTGCTATGAATACACCTGAGGGCACCTTTGGCCTCATTTCTTCATCTTTTTCCATAATTGCTAATTACCACTGGCCTGTGACCAGTTTCGTTCTCCCCTTTAACCCCTGAATTATACACTATCTTGGGACCCTAATGCTTCTAATACAACAGTGTCTGGGACCCTATTCTATCCCCAGGCCCACATGCCCATGACTTTCTCGGACTGGGTCTTCAGCCATTACCTTCAGAATAGCTGCCTTGCCTTCTCCAGTTGCCACAAAGATGACAGTTCGGGCTGCATTCAGCACAGGGAGTGTGAGGGTCACACGCTGTGGTGGAGGCTTCGGGGAATCGCTAATGGGGGCCACAATCTTTTCTCGTTCCTGGAGGTGGGAGATCAGTGGGAGACAGGATGACAGTGTCATCTGTCATGAGCACTCACACACCCCAGGCACACGCAAGCCATCATCCCATCCCACCCCACTAATCCTGAGGTACAGGCACACCTCAATTTATTGCACTTCTCTTATTTGTGCTTCACAGATTCGTCATTTATACAAATTAAAGGTCTGTGGCAACCCTGCATTGGCACCACTGTTCAACAGCATGTGCTCACTTCGGGTCACGTTTAATTAAGATATGTACATTGTTTCTGTTTTTAGATATAACACTATTGCATACTTCATAGACTACAATACAGTGTAAACCTCACTACTCACTACTCATCAAGTAAACATAACTGAGAAACCAAAAAATGTGTGACTCGCTTTACTACCACATTTGCTTTATTGTGGTGGTCTTCAACCCAACCTGCAATAACTCTAAGTTGTGCCTCTATTTAACTGAAGGTCCGTTTTAAGAGAGGCATACAAGGTTCAGAGGAATTAGGTTCAGCTTGCACACCTGTTGGCCGAGGCTTTCTTGACCAGATTCTAGGCACCTCTCTCTTTCCTCTGGAAGGCCCAGATGGCACAGACCGCTGCTCAGGTACCACTATGACTGCTGTGGGCACACTCACCTGCAGGAGGGGGTGGTCTGGGAAGAGTGAGCAGGTATGGCCATCAGGACCCACACCCAGGATTAGCAAGTCAAAAACTGGGATGGAGTCCCCTTGGAAGGCCTGAAGGAAAGAAGATGGTCCAGAGAGATTGTGAGGTAGGGCTCCAAGGACACAGTTGTCAAAAAAAGAATCATACATGTCTGTAACAGAGAGCTATGCTGGACCTCACCTGTGATCAAAGGTGCTCTAGGACCTTTGATGGCACAAGGGGTTAAGCACAACACTATGAAGCTGTCCACGGCTACTGCAGCACAAGTTCGATCCCTGGCCAGTCAGGGAGGTGACCCACATGGAGCAGCAGACCTCTCCTGTCTCATCCACTGCTCCCCTCAGCGGTGTATTTCAGTAGATCTGCCTGTTGTGTTCCCCACTCTGTCTCTGGTGAATCCTCTCACACCCCTGTACCTCTGGTCTGTACCCCAGTTTTTGTATGCATAAATAAATCTTTAAAAAAAAAAAAAAGGTGCTCTACTCTATAAGGTTCCATGTCTCACCTGGATGACTAGCCCAGAGTCGAGGGATACAACTGTCGCCAAGATAAGAGGACCCAGGCCTGGTACCAAGGTGGCAGTGGTGAGGTTTCCCTTGGGGACCACAGGACAGGGGCATGACCTCTCAGAAGGGGGACTCTTCAAAAGGGGTGACCCAGGGCAGGGCTGGGTCTACTAATCACCCCCAGGGGAGTTTCCACTAAAACAATCATGCAGTGCCACCTGCAGGTTGCTCACCGCCCTGGAAGGAAGCAGTCAGTGTGGGTGAGGCATTCCGTGGCCACTGAGGGACTCACCTGTCTCAGTTTCTTGGCATAGTCCTCAGCTGCTTCCTCCACAGGCAGTTGGGGGTTAATGGTGATCACCTGGCTGTCGGGAATGGGCAGCCTGGAGAGGAGGTGGGTCTGGCAGATAGAGGGAAAATAGGATACATCACCACCAGTAATGCAGGCTTCTTGATGGCAGAGGGCTTGCACACGACCACTTGATGAGGACGCCTTGAGGATGGGACTGTCTTCATACCCACCTCAAGTGTCAGTTGAGATCTTTGGCTTCATCAGGCTTGGGAACCTTTGGCCCAGTCGGCACTGTCTGGCTTTGCTTCAAAATCCCCAGGGTCCCTTTACCCTCAGGATAATACCTAGCTACTCTGTCCTCCATGAGGCCCCCCCCCTGGACACAAGCAGTTTTTCCTGCATGAAAAACTCCTATATATCCCTCAGGCTGCCTCCTCCAGGCAGCTACTCCTGGCTGAACCTCCCCCACACTGCTGCTTAGAGGCACCATCTGTAACTGTGATGAGCACTAACTTCTCTTTGGGATGCCATTACAGGTGCCCAGGCCCAGCTCTTCGTAGGTGTGCCACTTCTGTTCAACTGGTTTAATGTAGAAGCAACTGGACTCAGGCCTCCTGCAAAGCAGAGGCTCCAGCCATTTCCCATGGAGATGAATCCCAGACCTTTGCTTCATTCTGGGAAAGATGTTGGCAACCCCAGATTGGTGTCACCTTTCAGGCATTGTCTAGCTCAGCCAAGGTGATGCTGAGAAGAGACACAAAGGAAAAGCAGGGGATCAGCAAAAATACAGAATTAGAGGGGGAAAATAGCAGGGTCAGGTAAACCCATCAAATCTCATAGGACTGACTCCCAAATACTGCCCTAAGGAGTATGCGCTCCAGATTGAGGGTAAGAGGGAGCCAAGGAGCTGGAGAGTAACATGGTCAAATCCACTATTGGAAAGGCCTCTCTGTTCAGTCCAAGTACAAAGGTCACCATCTACACACACCCTTGGAGACCGCACTGAGAAAAGCCAAGAGGAAATATCGATGTCCATGTTGTCACCTGAGTTCCCTCCTCCTCTGGCTGGGCATTGTTGGGCAGGTGCCCAACAATGGAACTGCTGGTTTGTCAGGCAGTTCTCTTGAAACACCGGCAAGTCCTCAGCTAACCAAACCCCCTCCTTGGCCGGGGGCACCTCAGCCCAGAAGGTCCATGGCTGGGGTTGAGCAGAAGAAAATTCCTGCTGAGAGGCCCAAGGTGCACAGGGTCTATCTTTGAAGATGGAAATGCCCCTGTGTCCCTCTACTGGTTTTACTAGTGGCCCTCAAAGTTCATGTCCACTGTAGCCTCAGAATGTGACCCTATTTAGAGAGTCTTTGCAGGTGTAACTTGATAAAGTGAGGTCTCAGTGGGTTAGGGCGGGCTCTAAAACCTATTCTAATAAGCAAGGACACAATGAAAGAATCAGAGAAGACTGTGTAGACACAGAAGCAGAGACTAATGTGACGTGGCCACAAAACACGAGTGCCTGGAGCCCCCAGAACTGGAAGATACGAAGGACCCTCCCCTGAGTGTCCTGAGGGAGCCATGGCCCTACCACACCTTGATTTCAGAATTCTTGGCTCCACAACTACTAGACAATAAATCCCTGTCATTTTAAACTGCCCCATTTGTAGCTCTTCATTACAGCCAGCCAAGGAACTAACAGAATTCCTCTCACTGGGGAACTGGCAGACAGACAGAATCCTCACCCACATCCATTCCCACTACACAGCCTTTGCCTCCGCAGTGCCCTCTGCCCTGGCTGCCTGCAGCCAGCTCCTCACTACCTCCGGGTCTCAGAGTAAATGTCACCTTCTCAGAACCCAACCCCCACCATGCAGCTCACCACCTCTTCCCCAGCACTTCCCATCATCCCACACTATTGTATTTTGTCTACACATTATATTAATGCTCTGCATGGGTTTCTCTTATTCATTGGTCTATACATCCTGTGCCTGTTGCCCAACAATGAAGCCCAAGAACGGAACCACCCAGCTACCCACCATGACCCCAGCACTGAATACATGGACATCCTTGCAACTTTCTCTTTTACTTTTTTGTTAGAATTTTAAGTAACGTACAAATTTCCTAATTTAAAAAAATCTAAAGTTTTCTGAAGTCTCTTGAAGTAAAAATTCCCCCAAAATAAAAAGAAACAAAAGCCCTTTTAACTAAGTTCTGGGAGAAGAAACACAGGAAGGCCCTTAAGCCACAGCCCACTGTGTTCCCGGAGGGGATGGGCGGGCCATGGGGAAGAGCCATGTCCCAGACCCCCGCTGGTCACAGGGTGACCCTGGCAGGTAAGCACTCCTCTTCTGGCCTCGGTGACCTCATCTATAAAATAGGGGTAACTAGCAGCCTCATCTTATAGGTTATTGGGGGTAGGATGAGGTGCATTCATGAGATACTGCAGATAAAGTGCTTGGTAATGGATAAAACTTCCTTCTTTACCAAACAAACAAATAAAAAATCAACCAGAAAATCAGCAGCTCAAGCTTCTATGCCAAGAGAACACCACACCCAGCACCTGAAGGACTCCAGGCTCCCAGCCAAGCTGGCCCCTCCCACACCTCCCTGGGCAGCTTTTGCCGCCAGAGGACCTCAGGGTCGCCCTCATAACCTCCACGTCTCAATTTTCCTACTTATAAAATGGGAGTGCTTCCCTAGTTCTATAGGAGCCTTGGGACCCCAGTAGAAATACAAGCCTGCCCCCAGGTCATCAGCACCTCCGGAGGCGTGGATAGCGGCAAGAACTTATGCAGGTCAGGAAATTCAGGCCTGGGCTCCACCCCAGCTCCCTACTGCCTGCCTGGTCCCTAACTGCCATAGAGCCTGCAATTCTCTAGGTCCCTGGAACACGACCTTCGCCTTCACGCCTTTGCCCATGTCCTTCCCCCTGCCTGGCCACCGGATAAAGCACAAAGGACTTCAAGGCCCCCACCCAGAAGGGAATGAATGTACAGCACACGTGGGACATCAGGGCACCCAGTGACCCCTTCCCAGCTCCCGCCTTGATAGAGGTCACGGGGCCAGTATGACCCTGCGGGACCCCCGCAGCCGGGCTCAGACGCAGGGCGCAGCCACCTCGGGGTGGCCCCGGGGGCACCCGCGGCCGGGTTCGGGCGATGGGTGCGGCTCTCTGAACGTGACCCTTAGCGGCCCCCGTAGCGCTCACCCGGTAGAGGCCGTACGTGCTCTCGGCGTGCTCGAAGGGCACGAGGCGCTCGTCGCAGAAGCCCACAGTCCAGCGCGCCAGGCTGGCGTTCCCGGCGGGGGCGGCGGCGGAGGGCAGCTCGCGGGCCAGCATGGAGACCAGGCTGCCGCCTGACAGGCCGAGCGCGAAGCGGGCGCGGGCCCCAGCGAGGCAGCACGCAGCCCGCTGCGCTACTAGTTGCGCCAGCGACGCGCCCAGCTCCTGCGGGCTCGAGAAGACTGAAATGAGGCCCGGGGCCGGCGCGGCCATGGCGACGGCGGCGGCGGGGAGGCGGAAGCGCTCCCAGTGGTCGCCAGTGCGCCTGCGCAGATACAGGCCCAGCCGCTCTACTCTGAACGTTCAAGCAGCCGCCTACGGCACATGCGCAGTCGCATAAATGAGGCTGGGCAGGCAGGGCTGGCGGGGCTGCTGTAGCTCTCCACCTGGTGGTGTCAGGGCGGAGTTACTGGAGTTGGGGAGCCTAGGAGGAATTTCGAGGTGGGAAAATTTCCTGGCGAAGGGCGTATTTGGATGGACTTCGAAGTTCCCGAACATTCTAACATTTGTTGCTATTTTGGCCTTTCTATAAAATATAAGCTGCATTTAGAGCAAGGTGTTTAATTTAGTTTCACTAATACATCAAAAGCCCCTAGAGTTTTGCCTGGCACAGAGCAGGGACTGAAAACATACTGATTTAAAAGCCTAATACAAATGCTCCCAGGGGGACCTTGGTGCCTCTGAGGACCCAGAGAGGCATCTACCCTGGCTGTTATATGGAGTAGTTTCCAGGCTGGAGCAAGTGGGCCCTGGTAGATAAGAAAGCAGGAATAGCACAGGCAAAGAGGGCTGCAACGTGAAGTCTTTATGAGCCTAGGCAGTTAAGTAGAGTCTAGTAAGTGCAAGGAGACTTGTATTGGCAATGCATCCTTAAAATCAGTAGCAAATTAAGAAAACAGTTTTATTTACAGTAGCATCAAAAAGAATGAAATAGGGATAAATTTAACAAAAGAAGTGCAACCTTTGTGCACGGAAAATTATAAAAATGTTGGAAAAAAAGATCTAATCAATAGGTACCCATGTTCATGGATTGGAAGATTTAATATTGTTAAGGTGGTAATAGTCCCCAAATTGGTCTACAGATTCAACACCACACCTAACAAAATTTCACCTGCCTTTTTTTTAGAAGTTGCCATACTGATCCTAAAATTCATATGCAATTGCAAGGAGCCAGAAATAATCAAAAGAATCTTAGGGGGGAAAAAATTGGAGAACTCACACTTTCTTATTTCAAATTTACTACAAAGCTCCAGTAATCAAGATATGGTATCAGAATACACACGCATGCACAAATAAATCCATACACTGTATCTCCAGGAAACGGCTCTTCAAGGGTCCCCTGACCATTCAATGAGAAAAGACTAGTCTTCAACAAATGGTGCTGCCACCACTGAAGAGTCACATGCAAAAGAATGAAGCTGGACTCTTTGGTAGCCGAATAAGGAGTCCAAACCATAGTGCTCAGAACTTGTGAAAATGTTTGGTTACTTGGCTAGAGGAATTAAGGATGGAATTAGCTAGTAGCTGTCCTTAAAGTATTAGCTAGTCACAGATGGAATTAGCTAGTCAGCTGTCCTTAATATAGATGAACTAGATGGGCCCAATATAATGACAAGGGTTCAGAGAAATGATAGCTTGAGCGATTCAACCTGCTGTTCCTGGTTTTGAAGATGATGGATGCGGCATAAGTCAAAAGATGTAGGTAGTATTTAAAAGGTGGCAAAGGCAAGGAAATGAATTCTCTCAGAACCTCCAGAAGCAATGCATCCCTGACAACACCTGGATTTTAACTAAATAAGATCAGGGCCTCCCTGGTGGCGCAGTGGTTGAACGCTGGGTTGCGAAACTGCCCGCAGCCTCTGCAGCGCCGGTTCGATCCCCGGCTGCTCCCTGGCCACCGGAGGAGGGTCCCACATGGCGCGCAGACCTCTCCTGCCGCCCGCTGCTCCCCTCAGCAGTGTACTTGGGTGCTTCTGCCTGTTCTACTCCCTGCCCTGGCTCTGGGGAATTCTCTCACCCTCCTGCGCTTCTGACTGTACCCAGTGCTTATATAAATAAATAAATCTTTAAAAAAAATAAAAATAAAAAAAAGACAAGTCAATAAACTGGACCTCATAAAAATTTAAAACTTTTGTATTTCAAATAATACCAAGTGAAAAGATAGCCCACTGGACAGAGAAAATCACAAATCATATATAAGGGTGCAGTGTACAGACTATATTAAGAACTCTCATAACTCAATAAAAAGACAACCTAATTTTAAAATGGGCAGGGGTTCTGAATAGACATTTCTCCAAGGAAGATATACACATGGCTGATAAGTAGATGAAAAGGTGGGCTGCTCATTGGCCATCAAGAAAATGCAAATCAAAACCACAATGAGGGGCCTCCCTGGTGGTGCAAGGAGTTAAGACTCAACCTATGAAGCTATTGGCAGCACGAATTTGATCCCCAGCCAGGGAGCTACCCACATGGCACAGCAGTGTATTTGTGACTCGCCTGCTACTCCCCTCAGCAGTATATTTCATTCAGTCTGCTTGTTCTGTTCCGCGCTCTGTCTCTGGTGAATCCTCTCATCCCCCACACCTCTGGCCTGTACCCCAGTTCTTATATGCATAAATAAATCTTTAAAAAAAAAACACAATGAGGTATCACCTCGCACCTACTAGAATGACTTTTTTTTTTTAAAGATTTATTTATTTATACAAGCACTGGGTACAGTCAGAAGCGCAGGAGGGTGAGAGAATTCACCAGAGCCAGAGCGGGGAGCAGAGCAGGCAGAAGGACTGAAGTACACTGCAGAGGGGAGCAGCGGGCGGCAGGAGAGGTCTGCACGCCATGTGAGACCCTCCTCCAGTTGCCGGGGAGCAGCCGGGGATAGAACCGGCGCCACAGAGGCTTCGGGCAGCCTCGCAACCCAGCGCTCAACCGCTGCGCCACTGGGGAGGCCCATAGAATGAATTTTTTTTTAAATATAGGTAAGTACCAGTGAGGATGAGGGAAACTGGAACTCCAGCATGTACTGCTAGTGGTGGGAATATAAAATGGCAGTCATTTGGAAAACAGTCTGGTGGTTCCTCAAACTGTGCTAAGTTATGTTATCTTAACACATAACCTATTTTCATAACCAAGAGAATTAAAAATATGTACACACAAAAACATGTGGGAATAACTCATTGTCCATCAACTAGTGAAAGTTTGTAATATGGTACTCCATTCTAATAAATAGTATTTGGCCATGAAAAGGAATGAACTGTAACCCAGATGATTCTTAATATCAAGCTGAATGAAAGATGCCAGACACAAAAGCCCACATCCTGTACAATTCATTTATATGGAATATCCAGAACACGCAAATCCATGGAAACAGAAAGTAGATTAGTGGTTGTCAGGAGCCGGAGGAGATGCAATGGGATTATTTATTGTTCTGGAACTAGATAGATGAGATGGTTGTACGACACTATACTAAAAGCTGCAGAGTCATACAATTTTAGAAGGGTGGATTTCACAGTATGTGAGTGACATCTCAATTATCACATCTGTAGGAGTCGCCCAGGCACAGGGAGGAGTGACAGTTCAGGCACCAGAGGCAGTAGGGGTAAAGGCACGGGAGTCAGCCAACCTGGAAACCAGTTGAAGGAGGAGCCTGCAGGATGGCAGGGCAGACCAAAGAGCCTGGACTCTTCCCACAGGTGACCTCCCTGCTGGAACAGGGTAGGGCAAGAGGAAGGGGCCCAGTCTGAAGCTGCCCCTCCTTCAAAGGCTCTCATCTCTACCCCATTCCTCTGGAAACTGCTGCTCCTTCCTTGTCCCTCACACGTCCCTGCCTCTCATAGAGCACTGTCCAACATGCCTCACTGGGGCAAGTTTCTCTTCCCAGGTCACAGATACAAAAGTCCTTTCTCTACACTCCTAAGACCCTCCACAAAGGAGAGGTTCAGGACAGTGTGCTTTCTGATGCCAGCTTTCCTCCTGATTTATGAGGGTTCTGGGGGGCAAGTCACAGGGCTTCTCATTTAGCATTAAAAAAATAGAGCTATGAAAAAAAGGCATGGGGGGACCCTCAGTGCCTCTTGCTAAGTGAAAGAAGCTGGTCTGAAAGGCTACACATTGTGTGATTGCAAGTGCACGCATTGTGGAAAATGCATAACTATAGAGATGGTGCAAAGATTAGTGGTTACCAGGGGTTCCAGGAGAAGATACAGAGAGGTGGAGCCAGGGAATTTTAGGGCAGTGCAAGTATTATGTGATGTTGTATTTGCCAGTCCATGAACAAATAACACAGAGTGAACTCTTTTGTCAGTGCAGCACTTGAGAACATATTGCTATCAGCTCAGCAATTGCAACAAATGGCAAACTAATGTATCTACCCGGAGCTGAGGTGCCTGGGGACAGGGTTGATGGGAACTCCATGTACAGTCCCCTCATGTTTCTATAAAGCAAAAACTGCTCTAATTAATCAATTAATTTTTAAAAGAACATGGGGATCAGACCTAAGAATCATCAGGATCCAGAGCTAATTTCTTAAGCTGTAACAGCTGGAGTCACAGGCTTTGGGGCAAGGAAGGTCCCTGCTGGGCCACTTTCTCACCAAGCACTCCCTCAGTATCTTCACACACACCCCCACCCTGTGCCTCAGTTTCCTTATCATTACAACAGGGACCATGATGACCCCTCCACAGGTGGTCTGTAGGTGACTTCTAAAGGGGCATTATCAGGATGCACTTGTTTATTTGGCACAGCAGGGCACACCATACCCATGAGCCACGGCTGGCTGCTTCTCCACCTGCACCCCCCTCCTTGCAGACCACAGGAGTCCAAGGACAAGCTCGGACATGGATGGCTCATCCACCGTTGAGGCAGAGGAGGCCTGTCTATGCCTTCACCCCATGGTCCGGCGTCCTCCCCTTCCAGCAGATGCTCCACTTTCTTGAAGTGCAAACATTCCAGCATGGAAGGCGTGGGGAGCAGCAGGTGACAGCTGAGCATAGAATCCAGAGCTTCATGTCCCGACTTTGAGTCCCAACTCAGACAGTCACTGTTGTAGGTCCAGAACTGTTACCCAAATCTCTGGCCCCACCTGCTGGCTCCTTACACACAGAGACACCCTTCTGGGGCAGCCAGAAGTGCCAGGGAACATCCTCTGCTCTGGGCCATCCTGAGCACCTGCCACAACCCACAGGCAGATTGAGGTGGTGCTTCCTGAGACTGCAGGCTGCAGGGAAGTGGTGAGAGCACTAAGGTACTTGTCCTAGTCCCCAAGGTCTTGAAGGTGGGCTGACAGGCAACAGGAAACAGTGAGAAAAGGCAGAGCGTGATGTGTGTATGGCAAGTATGTGTCCTAGGTGAGGGTCCTGCTGAACCCCTGGAAGGCTTCCATGCCACACGGGGACTAAAAGTAAATGGCTGTGCTCCCATTAGGCCCCGGATGCTCAGCAGGTTTATTTTTTAAAACTCAACTAGGAGACAAAACCTCCGTGCTTGGATAGGCCTGTATAGCCACTTGCTACTTGTCCCCACTACTTAAGGGGCTAGATGGTGCTGCATGAGGGAGGGTTGGATGGGGTGGCTAGCCCCAACATTTTGACTGTGGGATGAGCCACCAAGGGTCACCAAGGACATCCAAATCACCCCAGGAGAGTTGTCTGAGTGGTCACCACATCACAGGCTGAATTGTCACTAGCAAGGTCAGGAGGGACGCTCAATGGGCTGGAGGCCCTGACCTCAGATTCCATCCCCAGGCAGGAGACCACCCCCTACTTCACACTGACATTCTCATGGGTCCCACCAGCAGCCATGCTGGAGGGGGACACCAAGAGGCCTCTTCCAAGGACAGTGCCATCTGAGTGGCAGGCTGAGCAGCACACAGCACAGTGTCCAGGGCCCTGAGACGTTTGGCATGGATGACATCCAGTGGTCACAAGTCAATTCTGGAAGCTTCTGGGATATCAGGAAGGGCAGGCAGGGCAGGGGAGACCCATCAGGGTCAGGGAGTGCACAAGGTTATTGGCCCAGTTGAGAGGATTTCCAGCTGACCTGGACACGCCCTGCTGATTCCCCACCCCAACCTGGGTGAGCCTGGCAGACCACCCCTTGCTCTTAGTTCAGGAGGGAGGGCAGAGCGCCTGCCTGAAGCTCACGCAGGGCTACAACATCCTGGAGCCCAGTGGCCTAGGGAGGCCTGGATAGGGGCTCCTGAAGGCACAGCTGAAAGGAGAGGGAGGCCCCACTCTAGGTCTCCTGGGTCATCCCCAGGGGCACCAGGACTGGCAATTGCCAAGCTCCCAGGAAATGTCTGCTCCATTCTGGCAGAAGATGGAGAAGGAAGAGGAGGAAAAGAGGACAGATGTGAGCAGCAGGGACTAGCAGGAAAGAAAGATGCACAGACAGACACCGACTTGGGAGCAGGAAGACAGGCAGGGCAGGGCACCCCAGGAGTTGGGGGTGTGGGGGACAGGGAAGTGGGAGAGAGGAATGAAGCAGGGGGAGGTGCAGGCTCCTCTGGGATTGTTTCTCCACCCCAGGATGGGGCAGGGCTGTCAGGCTCCCCGGCCACCCCCCAATGGGCCCAACTGAGAGGTTTCAGCACACAGGGGAGGAGTGTCAGAGGGCAAAGGCGCCTGAGCAGATGCGGGTGTAGACACCCTGGTCCAGCGGCAGGTAGTGGCCCTGCTTCAGGTCCAGGAAGAAGAGTCGGTCCGAGGTCTGGCCTGGGTCAAAGCCCTCGTGCTGTAATCGAGTTTTCTGGATCTTGAAGGTGCCTGGAGGAGGGGGAGGGGAAAGGAACTGGACTCAACAAGGGGTCACCAAATCACCATCATCTCCCACACATACAGGCTTTTGCAGGGCAGTCCCCTCAACTGGGAACATTCTCCCCATTCTGTCTGTCCAATTCCCCTCTGATCTTCAGGTCCTTGGTTCATCCCACTCCCTGCTTCCCCGGAAGGCCTCCCTAACCTAACCCCATCACAGCCTGAAACTCTATATTTAAACTTCCTCGCCTACTCACAAGTTCATCTCCCACAAGACCAAGGCAAGGCTGGATCATCACACAGTAGGTCAGGGGCAACAACCTGTGCCTGAGGGCCAAATCTGGCCTGCCATCTGTTTTTATAAAGAGTTTTATTGGCAAGAAGCCATGCCCATTCATTTGCACTGTCTGCAGCTGATTTTGCATTACATGGCAGGGCTGAGTTGTGACAGAGACCATATGGCCCTTTACTATATGGTCCTGTATGAAAAAGCGTACACGCCTGCAGTGAATGATTAAGGAAGGGTTTTGTGAAAGACACCACCAGAGTCACAGTCAGTAGGAAAAAGCAAGAGGCAGCTCTTGTCTTTTAAGAGTGCCCGTCTGTGCTCATGCAGGTGTCTTTGCTTTTCCTCTTTTCCTTAATAAACGTGCCTACTGATGAATGCAAACATCTGCTGAATTCTTTCTCAGAGGGACCTGAGGAGCCCATTATCTGAACCCCAACACCTAGACCCAACGTGGGGCAACAATTGGCACCAGTAAGCCTCTTTTGTCTGTTTCTCTGTCCTTTCTCATTATTCTGTTTCCAGAGGGAGCTGGGTTCGTTCGATAACTGTTTGATTAATCCTCACGAATTGCAGAATCCTGGACATGGACATGGCTACTCTGTGGTGGATTCCAAAGCATGGGGCTGGAGCCTTCCAGTTGCCCATGACCCAGGAAGGGTAAATACCCAATCTCTCTCCCTTGCCCCTCCTCCTATTACCCAGGGAAGTGCAGCTGCTTTGCTGCCTTTTGCCTTCTCAGGAGGGGTGGGTTTTTGGTGACTGGCTGCCTTTCTCGAACTAATGGGCTTTGGTCAAGGCTACTCTTCTGTGGATCCTGAAGTGTGTAGGCGGGGGAGCAGCCTGTCAGATGCCCTTGGCCTAGAAGGGTGAATGTCTGGTTCCGCCATCTTCTTTCTCCTTAATCTCCCTATACTTTAGCCATGGCTCTCACATTCTCCCTCTCGGAGTTTGGTGAGACTTGGCCTTTCATGAATTGACTGACCCTGGCATGGCTACTTCACAGTGAGTTACAAATGGTGGTGGTGCAATCTCTCGGATTCCCATGGCCTGGAAGGATGACACCTGGCTACTGTCTCTCTCTAATCTTGTTTATCTTTCAGTGGAGCCACCATCCCCATCCTCCCTTTCCTTGGGAAAAGTGTAGGTTCATGAGCTCTATTGTCTGTTCAAACTAGGTCTTTCCGGCCACTTAAAATAGTGAGCATGGGGCCTCCCCAGTGGCGCAGCGGTTGAGCGCTGGGTTGCGAAGCTGCCCGCAGCCTCTGCAGTGCCGGTTCGATCCCCGGCTGCTCCCCGGCCACCGGAGGAGGGTCCCACATGGCGCGCAGACCTCTCCTGCCGCCCGCTGCTCCCCTCAGCAGTGTGCTTCGGTCCTTCTGCCTGCTCTGCTCCCCGCTCTGGCTCTGGTGAATTCTCTCACCCTCCTGCGCTTCTGACTGTACCCAGTGCATGCATAAACAAACAAACTAAATAAATAAATAAATAAAAACATGCCTCTATAAAAAAAAAAAAATAGTGCGCATGGAGGGCCTCCCTGGTAATGCAAGGGGTTAAGACACAGTTCTATGAAGCTATCCACAGCCTCTGCAACACGAGTTCGAACCCCAGCCAGGGAGATACCCACATGGCACAGCAGATTTCCCCTGTCTTACCCACTGCTCTCCTCAGCAGTGTATTTCAGTCTGCCTGTTCTGTTCCCCATTCTGTCTCTGGTGAATCCTCTCACCCCCTACACCTCTGGCCTATACCCCAGTTCTTGTATGCATAAATAAATAAATCTTTTTTTAAAAAAGATTTATTTATTTATTTATTTATACAAGCACTGGGTACAGTCAGAAGCGCAGGAGGGTGAGAGAATTCACCAGAGCCAGAGCAGGGAGCAAGCAGGCAGAAGGACCGAAGTACACTGCTGAGGGGAGCAGCGGGCGGCAGGAGAGGTCTGCGCGCCATGTGGGACCCTCCTCCAGTGGCCGGGGAGCAGCTGGGGATCGAACTGGCGCTGCAGAGGCTGCGGGCAGCTTCGCAACCCAGCGCTCAACCACTGCGCCACTGGGGAGGCCCAATAAATAAATCTTTAAAAAAAAAAAAAAAAAGAGCTTTCCAGCCTTCTGGGAGGAAGAGGCCCCAGTGAACTAGACAATGTTCACCAACTGAGAACTTGGTCAGAGCTTTGAAATTTCAAATCCTCCATCCATCTAGACATAGGATTTTAAGACTCTCTTTTCCTTCCAGAGAAGAGAAAATGGCTAAAGCAGGTAGCAAGTCAAGACCTGGGATGCCCTGACCAAGGAGATACCACAATCTTATGACTACTGAGAGGGGGGAGGGGGTATCTGTAGGTGCTTCTTTTCACCACCTCCCTCTGCAGGGCAGCAGCCTTCCTGCCTGCCCATGACATGCACCACACTGGGACTTCTATTCACTGATGTCTCTCAGCAGAGGCAACTCTTCTTCAACCATCTGCAACCATGCAGGCCTCTTTCAGCAAATCTGTCCCTTTTGGGGCAGCTCATTCTGCCCGCTTCTGTCTATGCAAGTGTACTTTATTCTTTTGTCTCCTTTACCTAGTAAACTTGCTCTTTAAATATAACCCAGGCCTCCCTGGTGACACAAGCACTGTGAAGCTATCTGCAGCCTCTGCAGCAGACCCCTCCTGTTTCGCCCACTCCTCCCCTCAGCAGTGTATTTCAGTCAGTCTGCCTGTTCTGTTCCCCACTGTGTCTCTGGTGAATCCTCTCACCCCCCACACCTCTGACCTGTACCCCAGCTCTTGTATGCATAAATAAATAAATCTTAAAAAACAAATAAATATAACTACCGTCTCTGTCTCGTGAAGAAACTTGCCTGGGAAACTCACTGCGTGCCACTGAAAGGGGAGCTCTGAGGAATCCTTTCCCAGAGTAAACCCAAGGACCCCACTCTCTAAATGCATTGATTCCAAAAATGACATCATCCACAAAGATTACTTACTAAACCTTACAGTCAGAAAAAGTCACAGGACAAAGAACTGACAGTACTCTGGGAATCACAGGTTCACCATGAAACTGCTCCTAAAAATTTCTAACAGGAGATCCAAGACTTACTACATGGGACAGAATACCCTGAGAAGACTAATATTTTTATGGTTTTTCCCTAACACTTTGTATTTTGTTTCTAGAAAGCTTCTCAATGAACAGTGCTGTATGATTTGTAGCAATCTGCACCTTTTTATGAGCAAACTGGAACATATGTTTTTCTCTCTCTCACCCCAAAATAGAAAAACTTCTAAGTATTGATACTTCATGACAATGTGTTTGTTTGCATGAATCCAGTAAAGCTCCTTATTTTCCTCTATAGCAAGATGACTAAGATTTTGACTAGAAACCAGAATGCTTTCAGGAATCCACAGGTCTCAGAACCTACAAAGGACAGCCTAATATCTTACTTTCAGGGTTCTAGGTCTATCAAGTACAATAAAGAATGTCAGTCCCTTGGGAGACCCCAATACATTTGGGGACCTCAGAGAGGAACTTTCCCCCAAAACACAGGTACTTACAGGCAATGCCAGGTAATGAGACCATGGCCATGGTCTCCTGCCCAAGAGACAAACTGTTAAGGGCTCAACCTGAGACTCCTGATGGAGATTCCAGTAAAGCTTATCTTAAAAATATACAAAAATATTTTGCTCTTGCTGTACATATGCAGAAGAGCCTGCCATATTTACTAAAAGCAGACTTGCAAATTTCACTGTAATCAATTGATAGAACTGCAATGAGGGTAGAAAAAAATTATGCTTCTGTAACTTTTGATATCAGTTTCTGATCCTCTCAGTCTGCAAATAGGACTGCATCCTAACTTTTATTTTTTTTTTAAAGATTTATTTATTTATGCATACAAGAGCTGGGGTACAGGCCAGAGGTGTGGTAGGTGAGAGGATTCACCAGAGACAGAGTGGGAAACAGAACAGGTAGACTGACTGAAATACACTGCTGAGGGGAGCAGTGGGCAAAACAGCAGAGGTCTGCTGCGCCATGTGGGTAGCTCCCTGGCTGGCCGGGAGTTCAGGGGATTGAAATTGTGCTGCGGAGGCTGCGGACAGCTTCATAGGTTGTGTCTTAACCCCCTGTGCCATCAGGGAGGCCCTGGATCCTAACATTTTTAATATCAAATACTAACAGTATAATCCCCACAGAAAGGGGAGGTTCCGGTTCCCTGACTCATCTAAGGAAGGGTGGAGCTGAGCTGCAAGGGGGAGAAGACTTGGGAGAAGACCTGGCAGAGGCACTTGGAAATAGAGACATGTGAAGAAGAGGCCACGCTTGCTTCTTAGCCTTGGGACTTGCACCAGGGACTTGGGGGACATGGAAGGAGACACTTGTAGAGATGTGGGTGAGAGACCCCGGGGAGGCTGACGATGGCAACCTTTATCTAGATGCACAATTTGATTTTGCTCCTTTTCTTCCATACTTTCCAGACCTCTTCTGCCCCTTTCTTATGGTTCCCCCACAGAAGGTGCCTTAGACTTGTGGCAAGCTTTTGGGCCAGAGTGGCCTCACTTTGGGCCAACCCTGTTTAGCTGGGCATTTACCCATGGGGGGCGGGTAACTGGGTGCTTCATTTGGAATCTATATTCTTTCCTCCATCTTCTAATTCTGTTAAAGTTCTTTTCTACTGAAGGTCTTACACACTAAGAGGCAGTTAAATTCCAACTCCTCCTTGAACAAGAACAGCCGAAACACCTTACCTCTTGGACTCTGCTACACCACCTTCTAGAACCAGCACAAACAACCAATAGTCTATTATTTTGGACTAGCATTAGGGAGACCATGTCCTAGGCCCCTTAGGGACAGCTCTAAGCACTACAGCTATAGAAGGTAGTGCTATAGAAGGACCATCCACCCCTTCAGCCCCCCCAGAAGATTTTGGACTGTATATGGCCAGGGGGTGTTTGATGGAAGCTCAGAGTAGAAAAACTTAGGATGTAAGGTCTCACAAGGACAAACAGCAGAGGTGGGGTAAGGAGATTAATGTACCTTAATATACTGATATGGGGGCCTCCCTGGTGGCACAGCGGGTTGAGCACAGCGCTGTGAAGAGTCTGCAGCCTCTGCAGCGCAGGTTCAATTCCCGGCCGGCCGGGGAGATACCCACATGGTGCAGCAGACCTCTCCTGCCTTGCCTACTGCTACCCTCAGCAGTATCTTCAGTCGTCTGCCTGTTCTGTTCCCCACTCTGTCTCTGGTGAATCCTCTCACCCTCCCACGCCTCTGCCCTGTACCCTAGTTCTTGTATAAATAAAAGTAAATCTTAAAAAAATAAATAAATAAAACTAATATGGAAGTTTCCAAGAATCTGTGGGCGGGGGCAGAATTTCAGCCAGAAATGGGGGCAGAGAGGATTTTATCAATCATAGAATATAACCCAATCTGACCCTAAGGCAATAAATTCCACAATAATTTCATCAAAGGACATTATAAAAGAATATTCCTTGCTAAACTGTCCATCTGTGTCTATGAAAGTGAGGGGATTTGGTGTGTGGGGTTTTTGGGTCCCTCTGGGAAAGAATTCAGCAGAAGTTCCCAACTATCAGCACACGGCAAGTTTATTGAAAAACAAGGAAAGAGAGATGCCTTCAGACACAGGTAGCAAGTCTTAAAAGGTAAGAGCTGTGTTTTGCCAGGGCAAGGGGTATTCTTTTATAATGTTCTTAGATGGAATTATTGTGCAAAGTATCCCTTGGTGGGGTCAGATTGAGTTGGTCTTCTAAAACCAATAATCCTCTCTGCCCCCACCTCTGGCTGATAATCTTTTCTGACCCCACCTTAGATTCCTGGAAACATCCATAGTCAGGTTTAGTACAAGATTCATTAATTATCCCTATCCCCACCTCTGGTGTCTGTCCTTGTGAGATCTTCCATCCTAAACTTTTCTACTCTAAGATTCCACCATAAGTGTTTCTTTCCTTTTTCTCTTTCCCTTAATAAACTTGCTGTGTGCTGGTGGGAAAAAAAAAAACAAAGAGCAAGGGAGGTTATGTATGTACGGCCATGTGTGTGTATAGGGATAGTCTAAAATGATGAATCGCACAGACAGCAGTGGTCTCCACAGGCTACACCACAGAACCTCGGTGTAGTGAGCTATACTGCCTAGGTTTGCTGGGTGTGTGTGTGACCACATGCTGATGGTCCAACAACACACCCCACACCCCTTAGAACATGTCTTGTTAAGAGAAGGTGACTATACACTAGAATTGGAAAGACTTTTTTAAACAAAACTTCAAAAGCAGAAACACATAAATTAAAAAAAAAAAAAGGTATAAGGTTGTCTCAAAATTAAGGAATTCTTTTTAACAAAAGGACACTGAACAAAATTAACAGGCTTTAAAACAGAAGAGACTGATGATATCTGAAACGGCCAAGGAATTAACAACCAGGATACTAAAAGCAACTCTCCTAAATTAAAAAAGAAAAATAAACCAAGACAATACGACATGGGTGGAAGATACAAACGGGTGATTACAGAACCTAAGAGGTGTGAGAGGATTTGCTCAAACTTCCTAGTCCTCAGAAAAATGTAGAAAATGAAAAGACTTGTGCACTGAACACTTCAGGAATTCTCACAGGGGTGGGAGTAAGGAATGAAAATAAAGTGATGCAATTAAAACAAGAGAAGGGCCCTCATCCCCACATGCAGGCTGGCTATGAATTATTACGTCAGGCATGCCCCAGGGGCATGAGGCAGGACAAGTAAATAAATGGCCGCTAAACCAACAGACGGGCTGACAGAGGCAGGGGGCCGCACCTGTAGTGTCCACTTGAGGCAAGAGACGAAGGAAGATGGGCCGGGCGTAGGGTGCCAGTACCTTCTGCAGCTCCTGGTACAACGCATTGGGGCTCAGCTGGCCATGGGGATCTGCGATGGCGGCCATGCCTGCTTTGCCCTCTACTCCTGGAGACAGAGGTTCCACTGAAGACATCCACTTTCGTACCACCCAAGGATGCAATACACCTTTAAACAGCAGTCCCTGGCCTCAGGTCTCCAGTCCCTTCCACTTGAGATAAAAGTCACTGCAACAGTTAATATTTTATATGGTTCCCACTATGTCCCTGATACAGGGTGTCATGTTCACAATTCCATTTTCTGGACAAGAAAACTGAGGCTCAGCATCAAGCCTGAGGATGACTCTAGACCCAGTGTTCCTACCCAGGCTACCATACGCAGCTGTGTCCAAGTTGCACACTGCCCAAGGGCACCTGTCCTCCAAGCTCCTCCTGGTTTGGCTGCCTTTGGACCGCCCCCACAGCCCCACTTGCCTGGCACAGCCACCCCATACACAGCCACGTCTGTCTGGCCCAGCAGGCGACTGAGCACGCCCTCCACCTCAGTGGTGGAGACATTCTCCCCCCGCCAGCGGAAGGTGTCCCCGCTGCGGTCCCGGAAGTACATGTAGCCCAGCTCATCCATCACTAGCACATCACCTGGCAGAGGGGAGAAAGAGAGATGAGATGGAGGTCAGCCATGCCACAACCTCCCCCAAGGTCTGCACACCTGAGAGGTAGGCACTGTCTCCCTTGCGGAAGACACTATGGGCAATCTTCTTGCTGGTGGCACTCTCGCTGATGTAGCCATCAAAGCGTCGCAATGGGTCCTGCTGGTTGATCTGGCCCACCAGGAGTCCCGGCTCCCCTGGGGAGGAGACCTTGCTCAGGCTGCAGCTGGCAGATGGGGTGGTGGCCCTGGTTCCCCAGGGGCCTGAATGGGCTCCCACTCACCAGTCTGGCATGGAATGCAGAGGCCCTGGGCATCCCGAAGTAGCTCCATGGTATCCTCATTGACCTTCACCAGCCGGATGGGGTACACATGGGGCAGGATGCGGCTGTTGAAGCCACAGGAGCCAACCTGGGTTGGACCAATTAAGTGATCAAGGAGCCCTGAGGTGGCTCAGGGTCCTCCCCTGATACCTTGCCTCTCCTGTCCCAGGCCCTGGAAACAGGGCCCCTCTCCCCCCATGTGTCACCCAGCTCCGTCACCTTAGGTGATCTGAAAAGGGGATGGTAAGTGCAGCATTCCCCTGGTCATGGGAGGAGACCTGCTAGCCACTGCCACTTCCTGGTCCATAAAAACCAGCCCCCTGCATGTCATCTTGCCAGCTCACTTCTGAGGACAGAAACATCTGTGGGATGGTGGGCACTGCTGGGTATGTCAGCAACCTGCTGTGTCTTCTGGGGCTGTTTGCTCAACAGATATATGCACTGTGGGGTGAGGCTTTGTTCTCATACCCTGACAGAAAAAGAATCCGTTCCTTGGGGTGCTTGCTTCATTATTATTCTCATTATGTTCCTCATCTGGGCTAGGAGGGGCTTGATTAGAGGGGCTTGATTAAGCAGAATCAGATAATACAGCAAGTTCTCACTTTAGCCTGGTAGATCCTTAGAAACTGACTTGAAGTCAAACTACCTATAATGAAGCCAAGTCCTCAAATAATGTGGTTTTCAACATGGGCTGGGATTGTTTTTTTCTCACTGATGTTTTAACAAAGTGACACTGAACGAAAGGACATTATTGACCACCTGCTGTAACTACTAACCATAAAAGCAGCATCTGCAGAACACCTGAATGGAGGCTCTGGGCTGAGCTCATGATTTCAGTGATCATAACAACCCCACTGAGCAGTCACCCCCTTTTACAGATGAGGAAATTGAGGTGCAAGGAGCTGAGTGGCTTGTCCAGTAGGAGGGGATAGGGACCCCAACTCCCATTCCAGAGCCCTGCTCTCTCTCCAGACATGGAAATGGGCTCAGAAAGGCTGAGGCACTTGCAGGAGGGTACACAGCCTCACCCTACTCTTCAACTGGAGAGGTGGCTGATGACAGTTCATGACTGACTGACTATGCTCTCAGGTCATAGGACCTTCCCTGTGAGCTCTCCATTCCAGAACAGGCTGTTCCATGGGAACACATGGCCTGGGAAGCAGAGGGAACAACCACCTCCAAACCCTAAGCCTGGCTCGGCCCCTGCCTACACCCACCTTCCCGTCCATGTTAGCAATGCTGCAGTTGCACTCTGTGGCCCCGTAGAACTCGCCGATCTGGCGCACTCTGAAACGCTCGGTGAACTCCTCCCAGATGGCTGGCCGCAGCCCGTTGCCCACAGCCAGGCGCACACGGTGCTGGCTCTCCGCTTCGCGCACTGGCTGCTTCAGCAGGTAGCGGCAGATCTCCCCAATGTACTGGACCACCTGGCGGGGGGTGGTGGGGGGTGGGTGGCCACCAAGGGCCCAACCCCTGAGACACCCCCCATCTTGGGTGCCATGAAAACAGCCTTAGGATGATAGCAAGGAAACAACCCAGGCCATTTACACCCATCTGCTGGCCCAGTCCTCCCAAGGGGCCTGGGTGGCCTCTTCTATCCAAGTGGGGGCATCAGCATCTACCCCAGGCACCCCCCTCATCCCTCTATTCGCCAAGCTGCTTCTTAGGAATACATGCAGGGAAAGGAGGCAGCTGCACAGTTGACATTCCACAAGGCAACCCTCAGTCCAGAGCCCTATGCTGTCCCCAGACAGCCTGAAGTCGAGGGAGGGGCAGAGTCCTTGTAGCCCATGGAGTCACTGGATCGTGTGCGCCCTCTATAGGGATCCTTCCCTCTGGCACAAGCATTGGGGTCATCTTGGGATTCCCTAGGTGCCCTGGAATCCTCATCTCCAGATGGGCCTCTGAATGACAACCCTCCCCTTTTACAGAGAGAGAAACTGAGGCTCACAGTAAGTAGCACTGATACATGGTACAATTTGTTTTGAATCCAGGTCCCTGTCCGAATGAAGCAGTTAAATGCCCTGGTTAATGACCACTGGCACAGCTGCAAAGTTCTCACAGCTCTCCTCCACTCACAAGATGATGTCCAAATTTCTGCCTGTGGTCAACTCCATCCTGTTGGCCTTCACTGCCTCCTTTCCCTCCATCTACCCAGCTCACTGGCTCTGCCACAGAGGTCTCCTTTTGCTCAGGCCTTTTGCAACTGCTGTGCCCTTTGCCTAAAGCCCTCTTCCCAGGAAGCACTGGGCCCTCAGGTCTTGGCCAGAGTGCCCAATGACACAGCCACTGAGAGGCATTCTCTGGCCAACCCAAGATTGCCCACTGTTGACCAGGAGGTAAGTCCAGAACCTGACAGTGGCCAGTTCTCTCCCTCTGCCCTGATCCTATTATCCTGTCTCCAGAACAGAAGATGTGGCACAGGCTGCCCAGTCAGCTCAGTCCACCTCTAATAATTGACCAGTTCAAGGATGAACACTTGAACAGAGATAGGCTACAGTGAACCAACCAGTCCTGAGACTTTTGATGGACTGGTAGGAAAAGAGGCTCTTTCTCCACTGGAGTTACTGGAACTTTCATGGAGAAGCTACAGCAGGTAGAAGTCACCAATTAAAGAGGAAAAGAAGAGAAGAAAGGGAAGGGGGCTCCTGGATCAAGCTATGCCTAAAGCTGTCACCACGTAGACTCCACAGTTCCATAAACTAGTCAACCCTTTATTTCAGAAAGTTAGGACTGGGGTTAAGGTCTAGCTCCTTCGAACACAAAGTCCTGACTAAATACAGAGCTGCCCTCCAGATGTCATGCTCTGAGCAGCTCCCAGCTATTCCCTTCAGAAATCAATCCCAGGGAGGCAGTAACTGATGCAGCTGAAGGTGATGCCCTCATGGCTCTGAGGCTATGTCCATGCAGTGAGAGCCAATGGCTATTCTTCACCTCTGGCCTGGACTTTTAGACTGACTCAGGGTGCGGGGCAGACACTAGTGCCCAGGCCATGATGTCCAGCCTATGACTCCCCTGTGTCAGGGAGCCCTTGTATTCCCAGTGCACACACCTGAGTGGGTATGGAGAGACAAAGGCGAACAGGTGTTGAGATGCTTGCTGCTCTGCTTGTATGCTGCTAAGAAAGCATGTACTGAAGTATAGCCTCTGTCTCCGGTGAAGACAGCAGGGCTGTGCATCTAGGACTGTGGCCTCCACTACAAATAAAACAGCAAAAAAGCTGCTTCCCTATCTGACAGATACAAGATAGAATTTCTTTTTTTTTTTTTTTTAAAGATTTATTCATGCACACAAGAACTGGGGTACAGGCCAGATATGCGGGAGGGTGAGAGGATTCATCAGAGACAGAGCAGGGAACAGAACAGGCAGATTTGACTGAAATACACTGCTGAGGGGAGCAGCGGGCGAGACAAGAGAGGTCTGCCGCGCCACGTGGGATTCTCGCCGGCTGGCAGGGATCGAACCCACGTTCAGAGGCTGTGGACAGCTTCACAGCGCTGTGCTCAACCACCTGCGCCACCAGGGGAGGCCCCACAAGACAGAATTTCTGAGCTCAAATGCATGCTCTTGTTTTCTCAGCACCCTTATTAAATTTGACCTTTGAGGATTGTTTAGAGTCCCTCATGTTTACCACAAGCCTTCTTTTGGACGCAGAAAGTCCACTTCCAGGGCCTCCCTGGTGGCGCAGGCAGTTGAGTGCCGCACTGTGAAGCTGTCCACAGCCTCTGCAGTCCCAGTTCGATCCCAGCCAGCTGGGGAGAATCCCACATGGCGAAGCAGACCTCTCCTGTCTCTCCTGCTGTTCCCTTTAGCAATGTATTTCTTTAGTCTGCCTGTTCTGTTCCCCGCTCTGTCTCTGGTGAATCCTCTCACCTCCCGCACATCTGGCCTGTACTCCAGTTCTTGTATAAAAATAAATGAATCTGGGCCTCCCCTGGTGGCGCAGCAGTTGAGCGCCGGGCTGTGATGCTGCCCTCAGCCTCTACAGCGCTGGTTCGATCCCCGGCCGCCGGTGAGGGTCCCACATGGCACGCAGACCTCTCCTGCTGCCCGCTGCTCTCCTTAGCAGTGTACTTCGGTCCTTCTGCCTGCTCTGCTCCCTGCTCTGACTCTGGTGAATTCTCTCACCCTCCCGTGCTTCTGACTGTACCCAGTGCTTGTATAAATAAATAAATCTTAAAAAAATAAATAAATAAATGAATCTTAAAAAAAAAAAAAAAAAGTCCACTTCCAGGAAACAAAAAGGACTTCCAAGTGCCTGGAGGCAACAAACAATGCCCAATGCAACACGGTATATCAAAGACAAAGAGAGGGATTCCCCCAGCAGGAGGACAAGGCATCACCCACATTCCTTGCCCAAAAAGCAGACCAGTGGTTCTCAACCGGGGGTGATTCTGACCCCCTGGAACACTTGGCAATGACTGGACATATTTTTTTATTGTCACAACTACGGTGTGGGGTGCCACTGGCATTTAGCGATTTAAGGTCAGGAATGCTGACAAACATCCCACAGTGCACAGAATGGCCTCACCAGAGAGCAATCCAAACCTGAACGCCAGAACACCCAAACGCAGCACTACAATTGAGAAACACTGTGCTGGATGCAGCTCCCAAGGTACAGGAAATACCCCAAACAGAGGAGCATGATTAAGTAATTGCTAGTGACACCCAGAATGGGAAAACACTACAGGACAAACAGACCCACTTCTTCACTAGATTCCAAGAGGAAGGAGAGACATGATGATGGAAGGATTCTTATGAGACACATTAACCAGCTACAGTGTGTCGGTTTTATCTATATACTGATTTTGTTAAATTATAGGAACAAGAAAAAATCATCCATGTTTTTAACATGGTGAGACATGAGGTTGGGTTCCTGATGGCAGTGAGAAATCACTGTCACTTTTTGGCTGTGACGATAGTATTGAAATTATGTTTGTGTTTTTGTGTGTCAAAATACATGTAACAAAATTAACCACTCTAACCATTTTTAAGTGTACATTTCAATAACATTAGCACATTCACTGTTGTGTGACCATCCTCACCCTCCATTTCCAGAACTTTTTCATCTTTCTGGAGTTTTCCCAAACCAAAACTCTGTTCCCATGGAACAATCACTCCCTTCACCTGCCCAGCCCCTGGCACCCACCATCCTATTTTATTTAACAAACCTGATTAATATAAATGGGATCACGCACTACTTGTCCTCTTATATCTGGCTTATTTCATCAGCGCAATGTCCTCAAAGTTCATTTATGTTGTAGTCTGTGTCAAAATTTCTTTCCTTTTGGGGCCTCCCGGGTGGCACAGCGGTTGAGCGCTGGCTTGCGAAGCTCCCCACAGCCTCTGCAGCGCCGGTTCAATCCCCGGCTGCTCCCTGGCCACCGGAGGAGGCCAGGCACATGGCGCGCAGACCTCTCCTGCCGCCCGCTGCTCCCCTCAGCAGTGTACTTCGGTCCTTCTGCCTGCTCTGCTCCCTGCTGTGGCTCTGGTGAATTCTCTCACCCTCCCGTGCTTCTGACTGTACCCAGTGCTTGTATAAATAAATAAATAAATCTTTAAAAAAAAAAGTGTATGTGTGCAATCCTGAGTAAAGGAAAACTCCTTTCTTAAAAAAAAGTTTTTTTCTTTCCTTTTTAAGGCTGAATACTATTCCGCTGTGTGGACAGACCACATTTTATCCATTCATCAGTGGACACTTGGGTTGCTTCCACCAATTAGCTACTGTGAATAATGCCACTACGAAAAGAATGTGGGTGTACAAATACCTCTTTGTAGACCCTGCTTTCAACTCTTTTGGATTAAAAATAGTCCTCACCAGACACTGATCCCATTGATACGAAATGTCTAGAACAGGCAAATCCATATACAGAAAGCAGACTGGTGACTGTCAAGGACTGGGGAGGAGGATGGTAAATGATAGCCAGTGGGAACAGGGTCTCTTTTGCGGGAGATGGAAATATTTTGGAACTAGATAGAGGTGGTGGTGGTTGTACAACATTGTGAATGTGGAAAATGCCATTGTACTATTCACGTTAAAATGACCACTCTTATGTTATATGGATTTCACATCAATTAAAAAAAAAGAAATAAACAGTTCTTTCATCTTTTTTTTAATATATCATTTAATTGACCTTATTTCAGTTTTGTTTTGTTTTTTTCCTTTTCTTTGTGGGACCCTCACTGGCGGCCAGGGAACAAACCGGCGCTGCAGAGGCTGACGGGCAGCCTCGCAGCCCATCGCTCAACCGCTGCGCCACCAGAGGAGGCCCCAGTTCTTTCATCTTTCAGTGATTTTCCTGAAACATCAATGCAGGAAATGTGTTGCTATCTGGAGTGGTCTCACAATGCTACAGGAGGGTTGTGGGTGGGGGTAGAGGGAACAGGGCAAGGTGTTTAATGGCCTCTGGGGCCAGTGACCAGTGTTCAGGACCCCCTGTTTTTCTGTCCATGTTTATATGCATTTGCAACTTTCAGTAATTCAGTTCTAAAGAAAGACAATTTTGTATTTCAAGATTCAGACTGGCAATTTTCCCCCAAGACCCACCTGCCCTCCCCACTCCCCAACAGAGGGTAAATCCTTCATAGCCCAGAGTGGTCCCCAGGAGGCCCAGCCCAGAGCACCAACCCTGCTTAGTGGTGTAATCTGGGCAAACAGTTAAACATCTGTGGGCCTCACCTGTCCTATACCGCAGCTGCCAATCTGCCCCATATATATTCTCCTCCCTCCTCACCCCTTCTTACTCCTCGGGGAGGGTGCTAGCAGCTGTGTCTCCACCCCAATCACAGCGCTGAAATCCTGGCCTGGTTTCCTCACTGAGTAAGGGAAAGGAGAATAAGGGACTTGTTTCGACCTTCACCCCTGCCTCAGACTCGCCCCACCTAGAAGCTCCCAGCTTTGTCTTAACCAGTCTGGGGTGATTTCTACACCTACTCATCTCATTTTCCTACAGTCCCCAGCAGGGATGACCCCAGGACAAGAGCAAGGAGAAGGCAAGGCCTTAGGGAGATCCCAGATGCATTCCAAGCCACAGTTTCTCCATCTGCAAAATGGGTATGATGTCTTTGCCTACTAGTTAGGAGGATCCCATGAGCTTACATGCTGGGGCCAGGTACAAAGCACATGTTCAGGAAACAATGGCCACCCTCCCATACCTATTCAGGCCTTGGAGAGGGATGGGGAGCCCTATGATCTAATGGAGGGGAATGTGGGGCTGGGGATGGCGAACGGGAAGGGGCAGAGGCTGACCGTGCAGTCGTACTGGACGCAGTCATCCCAGAAGCGGCTGGCTGAGAACTTCTTGCGGAGGACTACAGTGAGCCCGTAGATGAGACACTGCCCCACACCCATGATGTTCCCTGTGGAGGGCTGGTTGGGTAAGGGATTCCCGGTCCTCCTCCCACCAGCCCCCACCCGAGTCACCCACTGTACCTGCCGAGTGGTATAGGGGCAGGCAGTCATACAGCACATCTGCTGCCCGCATGCTGTAGGCATGGTGGCCGAAGGCAGCAATGCGGTAGTACCTGCAGGGCAGGGATGCAGGGACTGGCACCTCGATCCCTGAGGGTGCGGGAGTGGAGGGAGTGTGAAGGCACTGGGTACACTGCAGAGAGCCAGGCAGGGGCAGCCCAGCTCGAGGGGGTCAGGGAAGAAGACATGCAGCAAATAAAGACGTGTTCATGGTGGTAGGTGCCATGATGGGTGTAACAGGGTGAAGGGGCAGAGAGCAGCTGAAGGTGACAGTCAGGGAGGTGAGCAGGGAGGGTCCTGTCTGGGAAGGTGACACATGGGCTGAGATTGACAAGAACCTGTGGATGCCAGCTCGGAAAGGGCACTCAGGTAGAATGCACAGCACGTGCAAAGGTCCTAAAGCCAGAAAAAGCCCAGTGGGTTTGAGGCAGTGTGAGGGACCGAGGAATGAAGAACAAGGGGTAGGGAGGAAGAAAATGACATCAGAGAAGTGACAGGGACCGCGTACGATTATAAAGGCTTTATTCTGAGGGCCAAAGGAACTTGACATGAGGGAAGTCTGATTTAGGATTTTAAACCCTCCTATGACCACTGAGGGAAGAAGACCTGTTAGGGACAGAGGTAAGGAACCCAAGAGAAGTCGCAAAGCAGAACTGAGTTCTGAGATGGACCAGGTTTTACCAGGTTGGGATGGAGATGCCCACCAGACCCCAATATGAACAGGGGTGCCCAGGGTATGGTCAGGATATAGACAATGCCTGGACTTAAGACAATGCCCATGGACCCCTCACCTGCTGTGTACGACGATGGCAGCCTTGGGCAGCCCTGTGGTCCCTGAAGTGTAGATGTAGAAGAGTCGATCTAAGGGAGATGAGGGTATTGGGGACCAGGGTCCAGGCTAGTGGGAACAAAGGGATGGGTGGGCATTGGCAGGACGGGGGCTCCATCCTGGTCTTACCGTCCATGCCCTTGCCTGGGGGTGGTACTGGAGGTGCTGTGGAGGCCTCTTTCAGCAGGGGGTCCAGAAGTTGAGTGTCTGGCAAGACAACCTCAGGCCCCAGGTCTCCAGAGCAGAACTTGAGCAGGCTCTTCCCCAGTTGTCCACTCACCTCAGCCACTGCTATAGCCCAAAGCACATGCCATGGTCAACATCAGACCCCTTCCCAAAGCGTGGGATGTACTGTCTCCCTGTCCTGGGCAGTCCCATGCGAGTCCCCCCCACCAGCCCACCCAGATGCAGCCCACACCCGGCCTCACCAGCAATCAGCTCCCCTCCGAAGACCAGGGCCTTGGCACCTGACGTGCCCAGGCAGAAGGCCAGGGGCTCGCGACGCAGGTTAACATTGAGCAGCGCGGCCTCCACTCCTGCCTTGGCCAGGCCTAGCCACAGGCCCACGAACTCAGGCCGGCCCTCCAGGAAGATGGCCACCACGTCACCCGGTGAGAAGCCCAGCTGGAGGAAGAGGTTGGCCACGGCATTGGAGTAGGCATCCAGCTGCTTGAAGGTCCAACACACACCGCTGCCCGCATCTACCAGTGCCAGGCGCTCAGGGTGTCGCTGTGCTACCGCCTGGAAGATCTGCGGGATGGTGTGGCGGGCACGCTGGTGCTGCCGCATCTCCAGGCGCACACGGATCAGCACAGAGAGCCCACTGGGAGAGAGGACAGAGGGGCTGTGTCACTGGGCACCCCACCTTGGTTCCTGTAGGCCTCCCCAAACCCTGGCATCCCCTTCTGGAGAAAGAAAGGGATAGGCGCAGGTCCAAGCACCCTGAGGGGCAGAGGTTACATGAGGATCCTTTGGTTGCAGGCACTACGGGTACAGCCATTTTACCAACCAGCCCAGCAGAGGGGAATTCATAAATCTCACCCGGCCCTGCTTGTAAACCAGCCACCCCCGACTCCCAGAGGTACTGGTGTAGCAGGATGCCTTCAATTTTGCAACAAAAAAAATCCGTTCTCTTACTTGACAAACAGGAATGTTGGGGCCCAGTGGTCTGCTACCTAACATACCTCTTCAGAAGAGAGCTGCTAAACATGACCAAGAGACAGCCATCCAGAAAGTAAGCGAGGGGCAACCTGGACCCTAAACTGGACTGCCACGCCTACTCTTCTATCTCCCTCTACTTTCTACCTACTCTTTCTCCTCCTCCACCAACAACATATCCCTTGAAAAAGTCTACACTGAAACTCCTCCTAATAGTTACCTACTTATTGGTTACCTGGAGGAGGAATGTTGTTACTATTAACCAGAGTGGACAGGTAATGCCCAACATAAGAAGACTTCAAGAACAAACCATCAGACTGGCGGGTGGGGGTGATCCACAATGGGGCCTTCCCATGGATACTGTCATTCCTGGGACCCTTAGCTTCTGTATTTCCCACTCTCCTCTTTGGATCTTGCATTCTCCATTTCATTGTTAAATTCGCTTTTTCTTGTTTCAAGATCATTAACTCAACTGCCCCTCCAAGAGGAACAATAGTGTCTGAGGACCCCACCCCTTGGACTCTGCCTACACTTTTTCGCAAATCAGCAGAAAGGATTTTCACCAGCCAGCTCAGGTCTAGCCTTAGAGAGACCATATCTTAGCCCCCTTAGGGAGGGACAGTAGAGAACATCTGGTCTGAAGCAGTTGCAGAAATTGGGCCTCCCCCCTTCAACTCCCTAATAGATTCTCAGCCAGGTATGGTGGGGATAGGGATGGCGTTGCAGGAAGATTAGAGTAGAAAATTAAGTATGGACTTTTTTTTTTACAAAGTCAAAAACAAGAGGGGGGAGGGTGCAGAAAGGATTATCAGTCAGAGGTGGGGGCAGAGAGGATTAACAGTCTACAGAAAACCAACCCAACCCAACCCAACCCCAAAGCTAAAAATTTCACAGAGTCAGTCCATCAAAGAGCAATGTATAAGGACATCCCTTGCTCTGGCAAAACACAGCTCTTGCTCTTTAAGATTGCTGTGTGCCCCTGACTATGCAGGCATCTTTTTAACAAACTTGGCCTATGTCACTGAACAGAAGATTGCCAAGTTTTTTCTCAGAGGGACCTAAGAATCCCCCCATACCAAACCACAATACTATGACCCTATCTGTCCTTTTTGCTCTCCTAGGATATCCAGAGTACCCCATGCTAGCCCACTGAAGCAGGAAGTTGCTAAGTCTGCTGCTTGTTGGAGCAGAAAGCTCCTGCAGTGTGCTGCTCGCCCACAGTAGCAGCTATGGCTACTCTGACCTCCCTCCCAAACAATGAAGGAAGTCTATGATAGATGGGGTAACAAGTTTCCACACACAAACTGTAAAACCCTACCATAACTGCAATTCAGGGCTCAGTCTTTTGGGAGCTCTCCCACTGAGTCTGCCAGTGTGACAAATAAATCTCTCTATCTCCACCTCTCTGAGTGCCGCCCGATTTCTCCGGGAAGGAAATTGCCGTAACACCACCACTTCCCAAATAGACTCCTCATGCTCTTTCTACCCTAACCAGGCCCCGGGGACCCAGCCCTGAGCTGCCAGCTACTCTTCACCTGCCAGCCACTGAGTGGCCATGGGCACAGATGGCTGAGCCCTCCAGCATGTGCCCCTCCCGGCGCCAGGAGCCCTCCTACTAGTGGAGGTTTTAACTCCCACATCTGTCCCAAAAATGCAAGGGGATAGGAGATCCCAGGGGACAGCAGAACCCCAAATAGAAGGAGTGGAGCTGAACGACCGGCACGGAGATTAGTTAGCTGTCAAATGAGTGAAAATGCTGCAAGGATGACAGAGCAGAAAGAAAGAACCAGAGTGAATGAAACAAGCTAAGGCATGAAATGACCAACCAAGAGCCACCTCACATCAAAACTCCACATTACGGGCCTCCCTGGTGGCGCAGCGGTTGAGCGCTGGGTTGCGAAGCTGCCCGCGGCCTCTGCGGCGCCAGTTCCATCCCCGGCTGCTCCCCAGCCACCGGAGGAGGGTCCCACATGGCGCGCAGACCTCTCCTGCCGCCCGCTGCTCCCCTCAGCAGTGTACTTCGGTCCTTCTGCCTGCTCTGCTCCCCGCTCTGGCTCTGGTGAATTCTCTCACCCTCCCGCGCTTCTGACTGTACCCAGTGCTTGTATAAACCAACCAACCAAATAAATAAATAAATAAAACATGCCTCTATTAAAAAAAAACAAACAAAAAAACCCTCCACATTATATGTGGCTATAAATTTTCCCTACAGTTGATGCCACTTGCCTCCTCATGAAGAATACCTCCTGAGGGGAGAAGACCCACTTGTGTAGCATACCACCCCAGAGTACTACCAAACACCATACATCATGGAAGGTATGAGGACATACATGTGACCAAAGTAAGGTTGATGCCTGGCCCTATGGGGTTTATGATCTTGGGAGTCAAAGACAATAACCAAGGAACAAGCAAACAAAAATAAAGTTTTGTATGAGAAGTTTCCTAAGAAGGAACAAACAGGACCCCTTTATCAACAGGGGCAGGGAGCCCTTGCTGAGGAAGCAATGTTTGAATGTAATTTTAAATGATAAGAAGGAGCAGCTGCTGGGCCTCCCCGGTGGCGCAGCGGTTGAGCGCTGGGTTGCGAAGCTGCCCGCAGCCTCTGCGGCGCTGGTTCCATCCCCGGCTGCTCCCCGGCCACCAGAGGAGGGTCCCACATGGCGCGCAGACCTCTCCTGCCGCCCGCTGCTCCCCTCAGCAGTGTACTTCGGTCCTTCTGCCTGCTCTGCTCCCTGCTCTGGCTCTGGTGAATTCTCTCACCCTCCCGTGCTTCTGACTGTACCCAGTACTTGTATGTATGTATGTATGTATAAATCAATCAATCAATCAATAAATCTTTAAAAAAAAAAAAAAGGAACAGCTGCTGGGTAAAGCAGCCCAGGTGGAGAACAGAGCAAGTATAAAAGCCTAGAAGCAGGCACATTTAAAAGAGAACAAGGGGGTCTCCCCGGTGGTGCAGCGGGTTGAGCGCAGCATTGTGAAGCTGTCCGCAGCCTCTGCAGTGCGGGTTTGATTCCGGCCAGCCAGGGAGCAACAGATATGGTGCAGCAGACCTCTCCTGTCTCGCCCGCTGCTCCCCTCAGCAGTGTTTTCGGTCCAACTGCCTGTTCTGCTCCCCGCTCTGTCTCTGGTGAATCCTCTCACCCTCCCACGCCTCTGGCCAGCTATTGTATAAATAAAAAATAAATCAATAAAAGAGAACAAGTGTCAGTAGGCTGGGGTGGAGGTGAGTGAAGCAGAGAATGAGAGGAGGCAGCTCTGTGCCAGAATTATTTCACTAACTACAGAATCAATTTGGGCACATTATAATGTCTAACACTTCATTTGTGGCTTCTGATGAGAAGACGAGGAAAAAGAACCCAAAAGCCATGTGCTAAGGAAAGAATAGATGAACAATGGTTCCTCCTTAAAAGGGAAGTCTGTGCAGCCTTCACAAGATTGGGGCCCCTCCTGCAGGCAGATGAGGAAGTAGCCTTAGGTAAGTGGCAAAAGTCATGGGCCATTTCAGGGCAAAGATGGCAATTGAGCACGTAGACACTGAACAATTACTGTGCCTCCCCAGGTCCCTCAAAATAGCCAGTGAGGTGATTTCCATTCTAAAGCGTCAACTCTCAAGGACCAGGAAAATGTGGGTGGACACCAAATCACCCCACTTTTGGAAGCTGGGGAACAGCAGATGAGAGGTTGGGGCACCAGGGAGTGGGAGAAGCAGAATCCTGGGCTACAGTGGGGGGTGGGTGGAAACCTATAGAAGAAACAACCCCCTCTATAAAATTAGTAAGTCTGGGGATGCAATGTACAGTATGGTGATTACAGTTAATAAAACTGTTTGCATATTTGGAAGTTGCTGAGTTCTCATTACAAGAAAAAGAATTTTTAACTTTGTAAGGATGTTCAACAGTGTTATTGTGGTGATGTTCATACATATACAAATGTTGAATCGTTATGTTGTACACCTGAAACGAATATAATGTTATATGTCAATTATATCTCAATTTTTCAAAAAATAGACCCTTTGCCACCCGGGAAAAGGCTAGAGGTCCATTCAGGGGAGGATCCTGGGTGCAAACCTCCTTACAAAGGCATATAAAATGAATGTTTACCTACTGCATGCTGAGCTCCCCAATCCTCTTCCCTTCTGTGTTGCTGGGATGCTGCTGGAGAGGCCTGCCCCTCCTGGGGGAAGACCCAAAAGGTTTCCTAAGGGGAATCTAACCAGGTTCAGACGCAAAATCCAAAGGAGTTTCCCCAAGCACCACCAGCTAGGAGAGCTAGGTAAGCTCATGAAGCTCAGTGGACAAGATCCCCTCCGCCAGCCCCCCACCCCCACCCCGCCCCAGCTCCAAACACACACATGCTGAGAGCATCTAACAAGCTTTACAACCAAGAACCCTGAAGGCCTGCTCTAACAGGGATGATGGAAACTAAAACAGAGAAAATCCTTGCAATACTAAACAAAAAGGGAAAAAAAAAAGCTAAAACAGTCATCCTTACCTTTGGAGATAGAAGGAGGCACATTACATTCATGAAACAAGATTAGGATGCTATTAAAATAAAGCTTTCTGGGCCTCCCTGGGGGTGTTAAGCACAGCACTATGAAGCTATCCTCAGCCTCTGCAGCATGAGTTCGATCCCTGAGAACAAGGCACCTCTGAAGAAGGAATGCAGGGCTGGGGGTAACAGAGAAGGCAACTCTCACTGCAAATCCCTCTATGACATCTGAATTTTGTACCATGTGTTATGTTTTAACTATTACAAAACTAACTTAAAATGTAAAACATTAGGGCCTCCCTGTTGGTGCAGGGGTTAAAGTCTCAGCACTATAAAGCAATTTCCAGTCATTGACAGGACTTTGATCCCTGCCAGGGGGCTAACCCACATGGCGCAGCAGACCTCTCCTCTCTCACCCACTGCTCCCCACAGCAGGGTATCTCAGTATATCCGCCTGTTCTGCTCCCCACCATCTCTGGTGAATCCTCTCACCCCCCACACCTCTAGCCTACACCCCAGTTCCTATATGCATAAATAAAAATAAATATTTTTTTAAATGTAAAACATTAAAAGACAGTTATTTACACACCCACTTGTACTCCTTTATCAGATTTCCATAGCTCATCCATTCAACTAAGAGTAGCTAAGATGAGTAGTCTCAGCATTATTGAGCACCTACTGTGTGCTAGGTTCTGTTAACCTTATGGCCACCCTCCGAAGTAGGGAGCTGAGATCCCCACTTGTCAGATGACAGATGAGCTGGCAGCTCAGAGAAGCGAATTAACACACCTGAGATCACACGAGAACCAAGGTTCTCAGGCTGACTCACTCTGCCTCTCCTCAGGCTTGCCACAAGTGCTCCCCATGTTCCATATGGCAGCCAAGTGGCTACAATGCACACAGCAGGCACCCAATTCCTGTTTCTTGAAAAAGGGGCATTATTCTTACAGCTGAAGGAACTGGGACATGGAGGAGGGGCACCATTCCAGTGAGGGACAGAGCCAAGGATCATGGCTAGATACTCCTGCTCCAGACCAAGTGCATGACCACCAGCCCGCATGGCCACTGGGCCACCGGGCACCCACAGCTGAGAGCAACCAGCAGTGATGCATCTGAGTGACTATTCTCTACCCAGCTCTGCTTCAACAACTCTCCATGATAGAACTTGACAGAGTACTCCAAGAATCACATGGGGTGTTATTAGTGACACACTCATGGGGAAAGGCCTATCAACAAGGTTGGGAGCCATGGAAAATGGCCTCTGCAAGAAGGGTCCCCATCCACAGATGACACAGTGAGAAACAGGATTTGTGGTGGCAGCCGGTCATGGCACTTAGGTTACTTCATCATTCTGGTGAGTGGGGGGCATGGGCCTCTCAGTCTGTCTTCTCCTGTCCTGTCCCTATGCAGGACACCTGCATGGGCAGGCAGTGGGTTCCAGTGCTCAGCTACAGCCTCATGCCTGGGCTACCAGCCTGGCTGCAGCCCAAGCCACCCCCACTCTAGGGACAAAGAGGCTACTGTCTGCCTTCGGGTCCTTCCCCAAAGCCTCCTCTTGCCCTCTGCTCCTGTGCCCCTCCTGCTTCCACCCTGTGGTCTCGGCACTAAGATACCCACAAAGTTGAAAGTGATCAGGTCAAAGACAGGACTAATCAGGAGGACTCAGGTGGGGTGCTGATTTTCTCCTCCAGGGTCTAAATGAAGCCCCATCACCAACCCAGCACCAAGACTAAGAACACCACTCTGGAGCCCTACCCCTCCCTGACTGTGTGTTCCTGTGCAAATGACCTCCATGCCTTCATTGGCCTACATATAAAAGGGGATTAACAAGCATCCCTTCTTAACAGGAATATGAGCATATTAGGACATGGCCTGGTACACAGAGAAGATTATAAAGGCTCTATTAGTCAGTTCCTGCTGTGTAACAAATCACCCCAAACAATAAACACTTATATCTCATAGTCTCTGGACTATGGGAGTGACTTAGGTGGTGGTTCTGGCTAAGGGTCTCTTGTGAGGCGACAATCATGGTGTCAGCTGGAGCTCCAGTCATCTCACAGTTTTATTGGGAGACCAGTTCACTTCCAAGTTCACTCACATGAGCCTCTCCATGTGACTGAGTCACATCATGGCAGCAAGCTGCCCCCAGAGTAAGTGAGCCAAGAGAAAGTGCCCAGGATGGTACTTTTTAATTGTCTAATCTCAAATGTGACACCCCCTCACTTCTACAATATGTCCTCACTCAGTATCATCAATGTGTACTTGGAAAATGTGATTTTCAGTATATTGATGTATAATGAAAGCAGGTGCTTGGAATAATACCAATTTATTCAATGTTGGGCAGAATTGTTTTTTTCTCAGCACCGTTACAACAACACAGCAGTATTCAAAGACCTGCTGTACTGAGCTCTATTCATTAGCAGTGAGTCACAGGCCCAGCCTACACTCAAAGGGAGGGCATCAAACAAGGACCAGGAGTTGCAGCCATCTTTGAGGTTGCCTCCTACAGAAAAGTGTGTCAAGCTCTGTATCAGGGACTCAGAGTAGACTCAGCTCCTATCCCAGGAAGACAGCCAGGCACAGATCCCCACAGTTTCATGGGGCAGAGCAGGGGCAAGGGAGAAATGGGGCCTGGGTGAACCCATGGAGTAGGGCGGGCCAGCCAGTCAACAAACATGGCCCATACTCCTGCTGTGCCACCCTGAGCAGGGGCCAGGGCCACAGTGACACAAAAGCCAACACAGAGCTCATAGTGTGTTGGGGTGGGGGGAACCTAAGAATCAAAGGCAAGAAAGCAGACACATACGAGAATTACAGATAATGAATAGCGGCCATAGGTCAAAGTTTGGAGTGACTCTAACTGGATTCAAATCCTATGCCCATGACCTATGTGACCTTGCACATGTGGCATAACCACTTTGTGCCTCAATTTACTTATCTCTAAATGAGAAGAGTACCCACCGCAGGAGGTTGCTGGGAGCACTCAAGGAGCCATGCCTATAAAATGCTTAGCACCTTGTTAGGGGAGGAGGGGGCACTCAGTAAATGTTGGCTATTATTAGAGAGCAACAAAAGGGGCGGGTCTATGGAGACTCAGTGTCAGGGACTCTCTGAGGAGGTGATATTTAAACCACAGCAGGATGAAAAAGAACAGGAAAGAGCAGTCCAGGCAGTGGCAATAGCAAGTGCAAAGGCCCCGAGACTAGAACAAGGTTATGCGTGTATAGGAACAGCGAGGAGGCCAATGTAGCTGGAACAGTGACAAAAGGGAGAAGCTTCAGGGGATAAGGTCAGGGACTTCACATAATCTAGGATCTAAGGGTGAGAGGAGCCATGAGAGGATGATTAATAGGAAAATTCCACAAAGGGTCTCCCAGGGAGGCAACATGATAAGGAATCACCAGGTAAACGGAAGTCATATATTTCAGGTGGCAGAGGGAGCAGCCTGTGCTGGACAAGAGGAGCTGATTCACGGACTAGGTGGGCCGATCAAGGTGGTGAGTTCAAGTGGGCAGGAGACAGGTTGGCGGGATTTCAGTGCCCAATGGGAGGCTGAGTTTCCAACTCAGGAGACTCAGGAGGAGAGTTGGATTGTGGAGTGTGTGAACATAAGATGAAATCAGATCTGTATGTTAGAAAGCCAATGAGGGAAGGCGGACAGCAGCAAAGAGGGCCATGGGAAAAAAAAAAAAAAAAAAGATGAATTCTAAAAGACTTAACTTGCAGTGAATTTTTCCCAGCTCCATACCCCTCCTACTGCTCCCAAGCCTCAGTTTCTTCATCCTTACAATGGGTTTAGTCCTTCCAACTCCAAACAGAAAGGGTGCCTGCGAAGTCAACAAGTCTGGCCACACGGGGCTGTCATTTGCTCATTTGGGGATCCCAGCAACACCAATGTCATCTTAGGACAGTATCACCTTAGGAGGATTCTCCAAGAATACCCGCATAAGAAACCAGAATCCCTCCTCCTCCCCCACAGAGGTCTCAGTCCCCAGAGATTCCCAAACAAGTATTAGAATATTTGCAGTGCCATGGGGATGGGGGGTGGGGGGGTGGGAGAAGAAAACAAGTATTGGAATATGTAGTGGCCTCTCCACAAATTCCAAACCTCCTCCAAAATCCCACACAGAAATCACACTCACAGATTGCCCCCAGCTACACAGAAGCCTACAGATGGCCCTGAAGAGACAGACACCTTTCACAGACCCTAAAAGTCCTCTACATACTTCCCAAGAAGCCCCTTCACACCCCCCAAAAAAAATTCGTAAATTGACCCAAGGTATCTTGGCAGACCCTAGAAACCAACAGATAGCTCCTGTGAACCCACGGGGGACCCACCAGAATTCCTCAAGAGCCTCCAAAGGTCTCCCACAGTCACCCAGCCCCAAAGACTCCAAATTACAATTTCCCAATCAGCCCCCCGAACTACCTAGAACTTCTACCAGCTACCCAAGAACTCCCAAGTTTCTTTCCAGTCTCCTGAAGCCTCCCAATTAACCCCAAGAATCTTGAGACCTATTCCTTTCCCTTCAGAGACCTTCAGGCTGTCTCCTGTAGGTTCCCTCAGAACGCCCCTACCCGTCACTCCTTCAGGCCACGGCTCCGACCTAGCCTTGGCCCCAGTCTTCTAAACCGCATTCCCAAGCCCTCCGGGCACCCCCTAGGTCGCCCCAGGAGCCCCCTTTGATCCGCCCCAGGGCTCGCAGCCCCGCCCCCGACCCCAGCCCGGGGCCCGGAATGCACTCACAACAGGTCCCGCTTCGCCGTCTTGCAGACGATGCGCAGGAAACGCCAGCCGCCGCCGCCCACGTACACTCCGAGGGCTGCCGCCGCGCTCCAGGTCCACGGCAGCCCCAGCAGCCACAACAGCACCAGCGAGGCCACGGAGGCCGCTCCCGCACCCGGAGCCCGCATCCTGGGGACGCCGACTGAGCTGAGGACGCGAGCCGCCCGGGCCCCGCCCCAGAGGCCCCGCCCCAGAGGCCCCGCCCCAGAGGCCCCGCCCCAGGCCCCGCCCCAGGCCCCGCCCCCGGAGCACCGCCCACTTGCTGGCGAAGACGCGCCCCTCCGCTGGCCGAAACCCAGACCCGTGGGCTGCAGCCAGACCCCGCCCCCAGACCTGGGATTGGCCATGCCGCAGGCAGGCTCCGCCCACAGGCCGCCTTGCTCCCAGCCAGGCCCAGACTTCTCTGCCAATCATTAGACTGGGCCACACCTGCAGGCTCAGCTCGTTCAGGAACCCCTCCATTATTGTCATGCCTTCACCTAACTGGAGGCCTTTGGGAACCACGCTCCACCCTCTCGATTTGGTCCCCAAGTCTGGGTTCCTCCTTGTGCCCGACCACAAATCCAGGTCCTTCCCTGGGCCCCGCCCCCATGCCAGGCCCTCGATCCCAGGGTCCACATGTCCAACGATAGGTCGTGGTCTTTCCTTCAGGCCCCGCCCCTATCTCCCAGGCCGCTGGGGGCCAGCCCGGTAGGGCCTCTAGGTTAAG